AGAGTCAGAACACAGCAGCACAAAGGCGACAGTCAGTCCTGTCTCCAAGAAACAAGCCCCTCTGAGCTCTTCTCTGGAACAAAGATAGACTGAAAACATTAAACACAAGCAGCGAAATCAGACCACTGTTAGAACTGCCCTGGTGCACAACATACACAAACATGTCTACAGGCTATTCTGTGTAGCTTTCTGGCCTATATATTAAAAGTAAAGACTAATAACTGTGCCAGGAATAAGCACATTTAAGAGCCCTCGCTAAATTTACATGGATCTGATAACGAGCAGAGCACCACTGGTCATTGCTACAGCTCCACAAACTTGCAACATCCAACCTGAAAGCATTTCGGAAATAATTGAATAGGTCACGACTTTGTGTCCCCTGGGTTACAGGGGTGATTAAGCTCTGGTTGGGAAGCTTAGTAAATTTCTGGGATAAGGCTAATTAGCACATTGGTTTACATCTGCTGGTCTCAACAGAAGTGCCACTGTGGCAGTGAGGTGTGACAGTCGCGATGAGCAGAGAGATTCTGAGACTTCAGTCACTCCTAAACATTTGTTTTCTTTAAATCAACAGGAAGAGACCAAGAGGGATAATGTTCTGAAGTTTAACATTCAAATATTAAAACCTTGGAATCAAAGTAAGAGTAACACACATGCAGACAAAATCAATGAGAAAGTACACTAGATTTGTCTTTTAATCTTTTAGTAGAACCAATAGTAAAAACCAAAATGGCAAAATGTTGTTTATTAAAAGTTATTTCAGGCACGAGAATGGAAAGTATCCCAGGACACAGCTGTAACCATGGTGACTTCATCACAGCAAAGAGTTTTAGAGTTTTTTTTTTTTTTTTTTTTTTTTTTACAAGTCTCAGTCATGTGAATCACACCAGACCAGCGGCATTACGTAAGGGGGCAGGGCGGGTGGGCTGCCCCAGGACACAGCTAGGCCTGGCCTAGTTTGTGGGGCAGTATGATGCTCGAAAAGGGCTCTAAAGGATTAAGGACTAGTTTCCACGTGTCACCCCTGATAAGAAGTGACTACAATCCTCACACCATGCAAAATCCATTCACTCCCACAAAATATTATAATTTTCAGGTTGCACTGACTGAATACCAGAGTTAATACCGGAACACTACAATTGTTCTTTCAGTAGGAGCAAAATAGAAACCTGTTTGTGCTTTGAGCGTAAGCAAGACATGTGAAATAAGGTCAACTTGGAAATCAATCAGCTGAAATGCTGTGACAATAATGATGTTTTGATATCACAATAGATTAAAAAAACTTTTGAATAAATGCAAAATGAACTGCATTTTTATAGTACCATATATTTTTAAATATAACCTTAATTGTAGACATGTAGACAAGGTACAGAATATTTTTATTGTTCACTGGTCATACTAATATTCAAAAAGTGCACCTAATTTGCCCTATAAATTCAGATGCTAAAAAAGGAAAAATATAATTCCTGGCTAAAGTCATGTCACAGCTAAAAAGATTTGCCAATGAATTTGTTGACAATTTATTGGTACATAGATACTGATCAGTAGCTTGCACTTTCTGTCAAAAATTAATTTGACCTATGGCCTGGTCAATGATATCAGGTGTTATTGTCATTTCATGGTTCTTATGTTGAACTGACTGATGTACTTTAGTGCTGGTGCCTACCTGTAGCAGTGGGTGGTGCAGGGTGATCTCCAGCTCGGCCAGCCTGTGTGCGGGGTCCTCACACTCCTCATGGATCTCCAGGTCCTCTCGGGGCACAGTGTCCCAGCGCCCACAGTTGGCTGCCAGCTGATGGACCAGCTCGTACTGGCCAGGCAGGGCCAGGCTGAGCCGTGTCTGTCGCCCATAACTGAAACACAGTTTACGCCTCTTACACACAGTGCCCTGAACACCCTCACAGGCTTCTCCGGCCTCCGGGCCCAGAGGTAAGAGCCTCTCCCCTAGAAGGCAGTTTAGGAGCTGGTACCGGGCAGCACAGTCCTGTCCCAGGATGACCACATAGGGGGCAGCACCCACAGTGTTTCGTAGGAACTCGTCTTCATGACTGGGAAATGCAATGCAGCTGAGCTGGCCTGGAGGAGAAGAGAAGACAAAATATGACTAAAAACGCTCCCTAAAGCAACAGGGGTTATTTAGAACAGGGAGCTTTCTAAAAAGCAAATACTTGTGCAACACTACTAGGAATATGCACAGGACCACAGTTTAGGAATGTTACAAAATGTCTCGCCTTTGGAGATTTTTTCCAGATATATTCCTCAAATCTAGAGTACAAACAGAAGAATCAATTCAGCCTCTTTATTGGGGGCACTCTGCATAATCCTTAGTGATGCTGAGTCACAGTCTCAAACACTTATATAACGAAGAGCACACTGCACTGCAGTGGCCTATTTTGTACATCACTTTCTCATTCTGTTGTGAATGGGTTTTGGCTGTTTGCTTGCGTAACTGCATGTGTTAAAACTCAGGCAAATACAAAAAAAATTGTCCAGAAAGCTTTTTGTTTGTTTGCTTGTTTTTTAAAGAGTAAATAGGGATCATGTATGTTTATGTTGTCTACTTTTGCTTTTTCTTTCCATTTAAAGTAGGGTTTTGCCATATGCTGAAAACGTAATATTTAACATGAAATCATGCCATCAGGAACATAAAAATCATAACAGAAAATATAGTTCGAATGGTTTGTTGGTCTTCTTTCATGTGTGTATGATTCTACCATTAGTGTGACTGTGTTATCTGACAATGTTTGTTCGTGGCTGCAAGTAGAAGTCTCCTTTCCCATGCCATTCATTTCTAGTAAGAAGGCATTGTTGGATGAACAGGTGAGCAGACCTACCTGCTTCAAAGGAGGCTGACTCCGTGCCGATAGTTGATGCACACGCATTGCTGTAGTTTTGTCTAATATCCCTGAAGAAAGTGTTGGTCTCCTTCAGGTTCATCTTTAACTGAATTGAATGCTTGTTATAGCTGCTGATAATTCTCGTCAGCTCTCGAGCCAACGGGGTACTTTTCTGTGGCTGTGGGTTCCCCTCCATTATGACAGATACACTGTGAGCTTGACAACGCCAGTACAGTCCGTGTGATAATTTATGCCGTTGTTTTGTTATTGAAGTTATTAGGTAAAGCTAGCTAACCTCCAGTAGTGCAACTACATATGTTGCAGACATTTAAACCAACAAGCCAAATAGCATTCTGGTAAACAACTAACATGGAAGAATGACAAAATGGGCTGCCAAGTTTAGGACAGATCAAGTATTTTATGTTTGTGCCAAGCGTGCCCACGCTCGCCCTCGGTCCATCCACGTTAGCAGAGCTAGCCTGAAGGCATCTCCAGCCCGTCTGCGCCCCGGCCTGGCACTGCCAACATAGCCCCTGTCTTTACGTATAAACTCCTGGAAAAAGAGTAAAAGCCATGCAGTTCCAAGCTGAAAACGGTTCCCTAGTGCCGTATCAGCCCCGGTGTAAAACGGCCTTGTTTTGCTAATGCTTCCGAGGTGTTCTTCCTAAAGCGCCGCCGCGGCTCTGGAGAACAGCAGCCCAGCCGACATCCTCCTCCAGGCTCCGAGTCGAGGCGGAGCGAGGTTGCACTGTTTTCGGTGAACACCCGGAGATGCAGGGCTTGGAGTGTACAGGCCAACACTGAGCGAAGGCCGAGCGATCAAATCAGTGCAAAACAGAAACTTCGCAGAAAAATCCCGAGTCGAGAATGCAAGGCGGGGTTGGGATGGCGCAAGTGTTTGTGGGAAATGTAGGACTTTGGTTTTGCCCGCTGACTTATTTAAAGTCATACCATAGTCTATAAACTCTACGCAACATGCTTTAAAATTATGTTTACATTTAATTATTATTCAGTCACGATGCTCCACACTGACGTGATATTTTGTTAACACTGGCTGGGGCTCACACCCATAGGCTGTACATGCCTTAATAGATTCCTGGTATGTGCTCTAAAGGAAAAACACATATGCCTAGGACTATTTGTTTGTGACACTGTAGCGCCATCGTGGAACAGGTACACTGAAGTACAGTGCATATTCCTAAACAGTCATGGGATAAGTGTAATATAAAATATATTATACATAATATATGTATGTAGGAAATTTGTTCTCAAATTATTATTATTTTTTTTTTATTATAATGTAATTTTTACTTTCCCCATGGATGTAGTCTAGTGATTTTTTGTCCCTTATCTCAACATGTTAGATGATTTCAGCAATTGTGAATTCACTGCCCTCTAGTGATTACTTCAGGTCAGAATAGTTATAATCAGAGTTGGGTTTTTGTCAATTGTCAACTTCTGCAATGCAAAAACACTGCAATTTCAAAATTGCAAAATTGAATGATATTTAGATAGATATGTCATATTAACAATTAGCTCGGACCACCAACCTATTTGCAGAATATTGCAGAATGTCTTCTTTGACCTTTGACAAAAAATGATGACCTATTTTGTTGCAAAGTTGGCTTCATTCATCAAAAACCTGGAGTTGTGTTTTCATTTACACATGTTTAATACTGCGTTAATAGGCTGTCTAGATCTCCAAAGCTCAAAATGCTCTGTTCCACTTAGTGCTGTCATGTAGTGACCAACAGCTACCTTTTACCTTAAATAAAGTGGAAATTTGCAATTCCGGCTGATTCTAGTGAAGGTGTAGCTTTAAAACATAGTCACACTTCATTAACACATGACATCACGATAAAACAGACTGTTTTCAGTTTGAGAGAAGAACGCAGCCTAATGTGCAAGATTTTGTGTGTTAATCATGTGTGAATGAAACAAAACACTACTCCGGGTATGTGTTTGATGAGAAAACAATTGTTTCACAGAAAATGGCGCACTATGGGCCCTTAAACTTTTTGCACTAGACTAGACCACAAAAAGTCAAACATTGTAGGTTTTCCCAATAACATACACATTCTAGGAGTAGAGGCTCATAGTCGTGCCCGCCCGGCCTATCCAGAGTTTAAAAATCGAGCGCTCCTCCTCATTTACCTGTGACGCCTCTCTGGTGCTGGACTTGTACTCGCCTCACTCTAAACTCTCCGCTTTTTCACGAGGACTGCTGCTGCTGGCTCAACCCGACAGATAGAGACAGAGGCGCACACGCTTTTCTGTCCGCTGTTGTCGCGATTTTACTTTTACTATTTTGACTGGTCTGACTTTGGGGCGCTTTTTACGCGCTCTCTACCAAGGAATGTTTTTAGAAATTCGTTCTACTCATCGTTGAGAAAGCAGGCAAAGACTCAAGCTTCAAAGCAAAATGGATGTGGTAGGTTTGCGGCGATTGTCTGCGAATAGTTGTAGTTTTCCTATCGAAGAAAACGAACCAAAAACCGCGAGCCAGCTGTCCGTCACGAAGCGCCAAGCCGTGAAGAGGCACCACCATAAACACAACCTGAAACACAGGTACGAGTTTCTGGAGACGCTTGGAAAAGGCACCTACGGCAAAGTAAAGAAGGCGAAGGATCGTTCGGGTAAACTGGTAAGACTGAACACACCGTTTTTATTTTAACCACACAATGCCCACATTTATTTAGCCAGTTTCAGCTTTTAAGATAGCTTTGCTCCACCGTCCCATTCACCACCTGTTGTCTGGACATGGATCACTATTTATAGGTGACGCAGGCTGTGCGCAGGAAGTTGTAGTGGGATTTTAATTAAGTAAAACCACCACAGTGTTTACTTTAAGTTTATCCTCGTTAATACAGGCTGAAGCCTTTTTCTGTGTGTAACAGCTAAGGCAAAGTGTGTCGGTGAATGCAAACTTTGTAATGTTTGCATAGAGGGACAAACATTGGCGTTTCACTCAAGTCAGCAACCCCAAATGATCAAAACACTTATGATATCAGCTTTCCCTTATCACTTGGGAAGCTTTTAAGCACGAAGACATTTTAACTTACTCACTGCAATACATGAAAGGAAGTTGTGATGTCAATAATGAACATGATGGCCTATAGTGTTTCTCATCATGCTGTTTAATCTGCTTATTTGAGTGCTACACACTGTAACATGTATAAACCATCCCTAATGGAGTGGGTTTCTTTCATAGTTTCCCTTTAATTATTATTTTTTACACAGAAGAAAATAGTCCCAAAGTAAAAGTGAAATGAGTAATTGAAAATAATTTATGCTTCCTCTAATAAAATAACCTACATTTGTCACCGCACTCCACCCTTTCAGTATCACATAAAAGCGAGCCGGTTCATTAGGAAGAGTGAGTAAATTTGCAGTTCCTGAGCAGAAAGCAGGAAACAGGCTTTCAGGTGAATTCCAGGCGGCTGCAGTGACCTCAGGGGAAACGGGGGTGATTTAAAATAAACTGGAGTGAGATAAGCCCTAAAAGGAACTTTATGGAACCAGATGAATGAGCTGTAATGAATTTAAACTGGTTTACAATACACAAAGGTGGAACATATATGATCATCTTTAGCAATTTGGGGGATCTATTTTTCAGTAGAGTATAGTATAGACCCTATGCTTAAATGAATTTGTATATACAATTTAAGCCCCTTTTCACAAAATGTGCTCAATCTATACACGACACACTAGGTTTATAGTACTTTTACTCCGTAACAGTATTATTATGGACTGGCTCTTGTTTTTTTTGACTGACTATTGTATACATATTTTGGCATTACATAATTCCGTGTGTGTGCGTGTGTGTGTGTGTGTGTATACATAATTTTTTTTTATTATTATTCTAAACAGCTAATAAATATCGGAATGTTTTTTTATTCTCCATAATGATTAATCACAATTATTTCTTGATCAATTAAATGTCTATGAAAATGAATTTCCTGAACATAAATGAAACTTTGAATCCTTGCCACTTAACACAAAACAGAATAAAATTTCCTCCTTATAAACTTAACTTTGCTCCACATCACAAGCTTTTACTGACAGATGACTGGCTGTGAACTTGTCAATTTAAAAAGACCCAAGCTGATCATTAACTATTAGAATTTACTCTAAATCCCAATTTAAAATGTGATTAATGGCTCAAGCCACACAACTCTAATGGTAGGCATCATAATATTTGAACCATGTAAACAAAGACGCCTTTATCACTGTTGGTCCTAGTTGCCATAATAACTCATATCATCTTGCACAATACAGTCTACCTCATGGTATTTTTAATAAAGCCTCACATTATTATTTTATTCAAACTATAAATATAAACAAATATGAGTCACTGTGTCAGAAATATTGATAATGTTTTAAGTATGAACAATAGACAGTGACTAAACATGGCTCAGGTCAGTCAGCCTTATCAGAAATGGTCATATATTGTCATCAAAGTCATGAGGGAAAGTTAAGGACTTTCCCCTGTACCTGCTGCTGTTTGGGTACAGTCTGGTACACGCCCCTGGTACTGGCATGGCTCGACTTGCTTACTATGTTTTTACAGGAAATAACTGAGAGTCCTGGGAGTTATCAAGTCTTCCTGCCCCCTTCTTCCTGCTATGTAACTGTTAAAATACTGATTAGGCTTCCATTAGCCTTTGTCTGGTTGATAAAAAGAAAGAGATAGGATGATGGGTGTTGAGTTTTAAGTTTGTGCTGCTCTTTATTAGTTTGTTGTGTTCTTGTCCTAAGTCCTATTACTGTAAACATATTGGACACTACAATAGTGTGTTATTCGAAACAGGGAGTGACTCATCACAGAGAATGGCTTCATCTCGCGTGCTAATGCTCGATGACAACAGCCTTTCCCATTGTCTTGTTACTGCAAATATCTTATTATGCAACTTAAGAGAAGGATACTGTTATATTAAAAACAACAACTAACCCAAAGGCATTGATACTTGATGCATGATGATTTTTTTGTTTTTTTGTTTATAAAATATTTTGCTTCAGTAATTGCCCAAAGCCAAAAAATTAGAGATGCACTGATCCAGTTATTTCTTTAAGTACCTGATATAAACCAATGCTATGACTGAAAATAACATTTCTTTCCTTGAAACAAAAATAAAATAAGATCTGATCCAAATGTGAAGCTTCAAGTAACTTTAAAACACCTGTATTAATTCCAAACATCATGAGACTTTCTGGACCAACTAGGGCCAGTAAATAGTCTTATTACATCAATTTATATGTCCAACAAGGATATCTGCTGAACCAGTATTTTTTTTCAAATCTATGATGAAATATTTAAAAAAAAATTATTTCACACACATGCAGGTGATAAAATTCAATGGAACACGTTACCATGAAAAAGAGGAGATTAGTTGTCAAGAGTGAATATCCTATGAAACTGTGAAATGCGTCCGGTGCACAGATAAATTCAGCCCTGAAGTGCTTATTACGTAAAGTACATAGACTTTCATTGAGTTCTCAGACAAGTGTAATCCTCACTTGGGTGCAAAGGCATCATGAGCAGCACCCCAGCCTACTGCCCCATCCAAGAGAAAGGCAAACAAACGCAGGAAGTTTAAGTTCTCCAAAAAAGGGGAAAAGGTCAAAGTGTCCCAGATAGAGTGCTGAGACCAGACAGTGAGTCACAGACTGAGCTGACTCTGACATGACAAGGTGCTAAGCTTTAGTCTGCAGCTCTGAGCCCTTTGGAGATGAGCCAAAGAGGACACCCCACCACCGCCCCTCACCATCTGCTGCCAACACCTTTAACCTTGGGGGGGATTGGTGACGCACTCATGGACACAGGAATCCCAGACATCTGAGCTTCAAATACACAACAGCAATGTTAAGACAAAGAATGTTATGTCTTGCTAGCTGCATGTGACTGCTTGTCCTATACATAGAGCTCAATGGATACAATTGCTTACTCGCAAACTATGGATAATCTACTCCAGACAATAAGAGACTTGCAGCCCCGCAAGGAATCACTGCACGTTGCCCATGCCTCGCTGCCCATGCCCACTGTTCTCAAACTGGATCATGTGTTCTAAAAATCTGCAAATATTCTAATAGTCTTTTTTTAATTAATTTCTGTGTAGTGTAAATTTGAACACAATACTAGAAATTAATCATAATACAGTTGGTATTATGCATGGTTTGAACTTTGAGGACGATAAGGGATCCTTTGAAGACGATAAGGAAATATTTTCTGACTCTAGACCATTTTAATGTTAGCTGTATTAACCATTATGTATTTTAGTTGCTTTGTCAATAATTTTAATGGATGGGTTTTAGTAATTATTCCTTCTTGTCTTTTAAGGTTGCTATAAAATCCATCAGAAAAGAGAAAATTAAAGATGAGCAAGATCTTGTCCACATCCGCAGAGAAATTGAAATCATGTCATCTTTGTGTCATCCCCATATCATCACCATTTATGAAGGTATGTTAAAAACCAATGCATTTTTAATTGGATCAGTAAGTTTCTCTGTAGTGTACTTTGCCACCCTGATACATGTGCAATTGGAAATGTGACACCTGTTGAAAAATGCCTCTTCATCAGGAAGTGTTTGGTTTCTGTTCTGGTCACGCAAGTCTTTTTGTGGTCAACAAGGATGCTAGGTTACATAAGCACCAACAGCCAGTTAGTGCGAGAAATTATTGTGTGTCTTTAGTGTTCTGCAAACTGGAAAAATGTACATTTCTCAAAGTTCTCATGCTAGGCCCTGCTTATTATACTGTGAACTATGGGATATGAGATTGCATAATAAAATGTAGCCAACCAACCTGTTTCTGTATCGTGATTAACTGGGAGTGTGTTTGATTTTGCAGTCTTTGAAAACAAGGACAAAATTGTGATTGTGATGGAGTATGCCAGTCGAGGAGATCTCTACGATTACATTTGTGATAAAAGAAACCTCTCAGAACGTGAGGCGAGACACTTTTTCAGACAAATAGTGTCAGCTGTCCACTACTGTCATCAGGTAATTTATGGAGTGATTTTAATTCTGCATAGACAAAACTATTTGAAAAGTAGTTTTCTCTTAACCTTATTTTCATAAAGGTTGTCTTATAAATGCAAGCCATTAATATGTAAAATAGTTGGATACAAAGTTGTAGCTGTCCAGTGACGCACATCTCCTCTCAGAAGTTCATTGTTTTTTCCAGGACACTGGCACCCCCCAAAGTTACATAATGGGCATTATTCAGAGTGATTCTGTTGGGTTGGGGGGGATGCTGCCATGAGAACAGTGTGGCTAAATGAGCAGTTGGTGTGTGAAGAGCTAACGTCAGGGCTAAAGGCCAGAGCAGACCCTGCACAGACACTTGTGGTCTGTGTCTAATCAGGGTGTGATGGCACAGACATTGGAATTGGCTCTGGGCTCATGAGTGGTATTTGGGTGAAACTGGGCGGTGGTTTGAAGCTTTAAGAGATGTTTGTTCAAGTGAATGGCCATGCCACTCCGTGCACACCATCTGTTATTTTATTTTATTAAGTCCTTGTTGCCAGTGCAAGCAGCCAGCCAAAGGCAGTTTCTGTTGACATTCTGCAATGGTTTCTTTCTCAGTGTGTCCCAGTAAACCAAGAGGACACAGTATGTAGATAGGCTGCATTTTTGATGGAAAACTAAATTCACTCAAGGCATGCCCCCCTGCAGAGCTGAGGACAATGAGACATTGCTTGCATTCCTGGAGGGAAAAAAAAAAAAAACATTTTAGAAAAGACAGTGCAATCTGACCCAGTGTAAACAATTCCTCTTATACATGATAAACCTTGCAGTAAGGTGAAAATATGTTAACGTATGTTTAACAAAAACATATTTTCTTTGTCTAGAATGGGATTGTTCACCGGGACCTGAAGTTAGAGAATATTTTACTAGATGGAAATGGCAATGTCAAGGTACGTTCAAGAACTTGCTCCACGCAGCCAAAAACCTTCAACTGGGTTTATGATTCACTGATAATATGATAATATTGTACAGTGTTTCCTTATTGACCTAATTTAATCACAGCATGGGCATGTATGTATGACATTTTTCTTGGTTGTTGCAGATTGCAGATTTTGGCCTGTCAAACCTGTTTCACTGTGATGAGTACCTCCAGACGTTCTGTGGGAGCCCTCTCTACGCCTCTCCTGAGATTGTGAATGGACGTCCCTACAGAGGTCCTGAAGTGGACACCTGGTCCCTGGGAGTGCTGTTGTACACACTAGTCCATGGCTCAATGCCATTTGATGGATACAATCATAAAACACTCGTTCAACAGATCAGCTCTGGAAATTATAGAAGCCCAAAGAAACCATCTGGTGAGTCTGATTAAAAAAGACTAAAATGGACAGTTTTCATATTTTCAAAATGCTGAGCCTCGTTTTGTCTCTCAGATGCATGTGGGCTGATTCGCTGGATGTTGATGGTAAATCCTGAGCGCAGAGCAACTATAGAGGAGATTGCAGGGCACTGGTGGCTGAACTGGGGTTACCAGCAGCCATTACTGTCAGAGACAAAGCCCAGCCCAGTGGAGCAGACTCCAGGATCTCCCACCAAAGCACACACCAACAGTTTGGCTAGTGTTGCTAACTGGCTCAGGCGAACATCCAGACCGCTCCTTGAGAATGGGTCAAAAGTCAGATGTTTGCTGCGCTCACAAGGAGGAGGTGAAGTGATAAGGCAACGCTCCTTAAGGAGGTCACGCAAAGAAAACAATGTATCCCAGGGCATTCATGAAGGAAGCTCTGACAGCCGTCCCTTTAAGAGCATCCTGAAAAGAAGGAACAGTGTTAAACAGAAGGGTGTGAGTGAGGCTCCCGTGGTAGTGCCTGTGGAGCCTCAAACAGTGTTGAGTTTAGCTGTAAATGATGTTCCTTCAGCTGCTCCTCGTAAAGGTATTCTGAAGAAGCCCACGGAGCAAGAGTCCGGGTACTACTCTTCCTCACCTGAAAACAGTGACTCTGGCTGGGTGCCCCCGCCTCAGGAGTGCCCCTCTGAGCCCACTCACAGAAAAGGCATCCTAAAGCGTAATGGGAAGTACTCTTCTGGGGGACTGTCAGAGTTTGGATCACTGGACCAGTTGGCTGCATCTCTGCCTCGAGGAGTGTCTCGCCTCAAACCCAGCGGGGCCATCAGCGAGGACAGTATTTTGTCTTCAGAGTCCTTCGATCAGTTGGACCTGCCAGACCGCATGGGCCCCTCGGCACCTCTGAACAAACCAGTGAAGAGTAGTATGAGAGGCTGTGTGTCAGCAGACAACCTGCTGGACATTCACGAGCACAGAGTGCTTACAGACGGATTACAGCGGCCCTGGACCTGCTACGAGGCAGGAGTGGCTGACAGCGCCTTCTCCATCACAGACTGTGATAATGTGACTGAGGCCTACAAACAGGCCATGGTGCTGCGCAGCACAGCCACAGGTCAGTGACCAGGAGGACATGGAGGACACCCTGAGGCGAATGTGCATTTCACCAAATGGACGCGATGTTAGTAACTGCACAGAAACAAAAATGTGGGCAGAAGTCTAATTAAATGTACTGGTAATCCATGCTGGATATTTAAAAGTCAGATTTAAAGAATGATAAATGTTTTATTATTTTGTATCAATCGATTGTGGTTTTATAGAGGCCTTGATGTGTCTGTCAAAGCCTCTTATTTTCAGGGCTAGTCCTCAAATGTATTACTAAAGCAAATGATGCCAAAAAGATTTTTATTCAAACCCGTCCCATCAGTTTTTGTTCCTAAATGGTATAAGTGGCGCTTCTACTGAAGCAAAGGAAAAAGGAAATGGCTGCAGCTTTGGATGTTACCTTTTCTGCTTCTATCATGTTGACAAAAGGTACATTTCTTGCCTTCCAAAGAGCATGTTGCTAATGTTTTTATAAATTAAAGGAGCTGGTTGTTATTTGAATGAGAATCTCTAGGTGAATTCAGGGTTGTTTTTCTGAGTTGACCTGAGTTAAGGAGTGACCCGTCTAACTGGTTCATAATAACTGTTGATGACACACATTAAGTGCTCATTTTAATTGTTCATTATGTGAGTATAAATACTCTTTAATTGTACTATATTAGTGCCTTTGTTGACCCTTTTATAATGGCTCAAACATAATGACCAAAGACGTATTTCCCCAGACAGTGAATTAAAATGGAGAAAAAATAAAACATTTTGTCAGTTGCTATTGTCATTCTGAGCAAAATGAATGAACATTAGACGCACTGTGAAGGTCATTTTAAATCCTGTTCATTTCTTTACTTATGAGCTATTTTCTGCATTAGACTGGAAATTTCTTTGTTTTAGAGAAATTTATGTGACTGGGCTTTTTTGTACATTGACAGTTTGTACAGTTAAAAGTATTGAACCTGTGCCAATGGGCTGTATTTTTCATTATGGTCCAGTCTGTACTGCTGACATGAAAATGGGAGAAACAATAAACAAAATTAATGAGCTTATATTGTTTCAGTAGATTTTTTTTTCATGTGAATTTCATTTCATCAGAATCTGAGCACAACTGAATCAAAAATATTCAATACTCCTCAAAGTTTGCATTTAAATATCATGAGACTAAAAGGCAGGTTGACTTCAAAGGATATAGCAACAAGATAATAAAACAACACAAGTAGAGTAATTAATATAAGGCAATATAAAATGTGTCAAAAGTGCTAAGAACAAATGTGCAAACTGATTACACACAACCATGTCTTTATGGCAGTCACTAAAGTATGATCCAGTTAATATTCTGGTTTAGATTTTTGGTTCTCTGTTTCAGGTGGAGTACATTTGATCTCTGGGATGAGTGCAGATACTTTGACATTTGCTTCAACACCAGTGGGCAGGCAATGGTTTAAGATACACTTCAGCTGGTCAAAACAGGCGATGACTGAGTCCTGTTCAAAGAAAATATTATTTTTGTTAATGATTTTTTATACAATTATTTTATTAGGATAGTGCCAGTGAGTCAAAATGTCACCATCAACTTATGTCTTACAAGATCAGAAGTCAAAGTGCTCAAAGATTTCATCACAACTTCAGAAGAGACACCACTGTCCAGCAGCAAGAGCTTCTCCATGGCAGCAGTCACACAAGCACAGGCAATTGTAGATGGCAAGAAATCTAAAAACATGCAGTCTGAAAGACAAAAGATCTGGGTAAGAGTTTAGTAAAAATGAATCGAGGAACAGATTATGTCAGATATGTATAATAAATTCATGCTTAAAATCATATTAGTGATAATCCTTGGTACAATGGAAAATAGATTCAATGGAATGGAATTGGTACAATGGAAAACCGTTTGGCTATAATCCAGCATGGTTACATTCATGTTGTGTCATATCTGTCCATACACTGCCCTGTCCCAGTCAAATAAATACAAGTTTTAAAAAAGCTTTTATGTTTAATGCAGATTTATGTTCACATGACACAAACGTTTTTTTCACCCACCCGTAAAATTGGTCAGCCAATAAAGCAACAGGTGTACAATACACAATAAGCCAAGAAAATCATTTTTGGCATATCACTAGCCCCTAATTTAAATGCTTTGAAATTTAGATTCAACATGGCATTATGTGAATCTACTATGAGATTAAAAAAAAAAAAGTATATATATAATAAATAATTAAATTTGATTTTGGTGTAGTTGTAGTCTATATTCTGGATATAACTGATGCTCTATGCAGGGTTGTGTCATTAGTTAAATGAAAGTAGGATCGGCTTCCCTGGGTTTGTTGGTACCAGTGCAATAGTGATGTCCAGTGTTGCCATTGTCACAGAGGACAACAAATGGGTGGACAATTAGGATCAAACTATAACCACAGACACACCCTGTAAATGTGAACAATGAGCAACAATTGGCAAATGTTGACACATGAGCCCCAGAATGACCCCAGCACCTCCAGGGGGTAAAACTAGCCTCAGAAAAAACGCCAAACAAATTATCCAGGAGTTATGATTGGTAAAGACCGAGTGTAGCTGAAACAGATGACCAGTGTCCTCAGGCACATCAGAGATTCGTGTGAAATTGTCCAGCTGAAAGCATGGACACAGCTCATTCAGAGTAAACAATACAGGATTATACAAACCCAGCTCCAAATGAACTGCTGACACATCGCTATCTAACTTATGTCTGCTGTGGCCATGAATCACTGTGGACAGTCAACTTCATTCTTTCACATGACTGTATTCTGAATAATTTTAACACGGTTATCACGCAATAAATAAAGAGTAATGTACTGACATGTTTCGGCTGCTCAACTGCCAGTCTCAATCATTACACAAACTCATCATCAGGGAATATTTAAAAACTTCTGGATAGAGAATGCATTTTTATTTTTATTCCCTGGCATTCCCTCTTTCATTGGAAGCAGTTATATAACCTACCAATAGCTGCCAGGGAGATGTAGGAGTGGACATGTCGGCGCACGTTGGGAAGATGATGGGATTGAACAAAGGGAAGAGTAAGAAGAATTGGTTCCAAGAAGTCAGAGGGCACAACTGAGGCCAAAGCCCAGTCTAAACGGGACACCACAGCCGCCTCCCAGTGCTGCAATAAACACTTTACTCAATACATTGTCCAGTTTAAATAATACAATACAATAAACAAAAAACATTAATGAACAGACAAGAGGAAGCAATCTAACTTCCATATAAGGTACTAAATAATCTGATTGACTAATCCTTTCCAACAGTGTCTACAGCCAGAACAAGTATCTCAAGGGCAGTCCTTAATACCAGTGCAAACTTGAAGCGGTGCTACGTATTTACTAAAAAAAATGTTTTTAGATCAAAATTCTGTCAATGATCACCCAACCCTAAGTTAAAGTATAGATAATTATAAAATCTGTAGTTACTGAACTCACTTGGATGAATAAGGACAATACACCCATACCAAATTCTTACATCTTGAACGTACATACCAGGATGTCTGAGATAGACACGGAGTTGTCAGTGTAGATGCATAGCTTGCTGGCTGTTAGGGAGACAGTCTCTCTCATCTTGGATGCCATGAACATGCACACAGCTCCCAAAAGCTGAAGGTAGGACCTTTTGACGGGAAAAAGACTAAGGTATCTGTCCATGTAATGCACCGCTAATGGAAAAACCTCTTCTTCACATTTCTGCTCCTCACACACCTGTGAAGGCAGGTAATAGGTTGGATTCATGGACGTAATAACATTCTAAACTGCTTGTCCATTATAATTGTTGCGAAATAAAAATGAAAAAATGTAACACAGTATACTGTGGTCCAAAGCAAGAAAAAAATCTGACTAAGTTGTTTTGCTGAAATGTTATTTACGAATTTAAAAAAAAGCTTTTGGACATGACCATCTAAGTGTGCTATGCATTTCTTCACTTTTATGTTGCTGTTCATTGCATTAGCATCCCTGCAAGAACTTTGGTGTGCGTTTTTGTTTCATTTGAAAATGTAATCTTCTTTTGTCATTGTATTACCATGTTCCCACTAAATATTATAGCTCACTTGAAACATCCAGACAGCCACTACTCTCCTCATATATGGCTGTATGTCAGTCTGAACGCTGCCAAAGTAGCGGTGCACAGGACAGGCTTTCTCCAGGGCCCTTAGGTTCTGGAGTGCCCGGCGGTCTGCGGTCAGCACCGGATCCCAGCCCGCTCGGACCACTACATCACTGTCTTGCCCACACTCAGGGTCGCTCCTCGGGTTTGGGGTGTCCTCAAGCCTTCCAGCTCTACTCTGATCCATCCGATGGATTCATAAGTGAAAACTGAGGCGACACTGCGCAAATAAAACAATTCAAAGCATGAAATAAACGCGTTTAGCGAAACATCAAAACAACACTTTATGCTAGCTTAAAAATTAAATGGCTAACAATCCACGTTTATAGCTCAGTCTAAACTTATCTTAAAGCTATTTGTCTGGGATTGTTCATATAGCGGGTCGGTAGGATAATTGAGTTGTATACTCCACTTGTCAACTAATGTTACAGGACAAATTTGTTAATCATTTTACCCTATTCTTGGATTGAAGAGTTTTGCGGGCGCCCCGGTGACCCCAAAGGTGAGTGTGGTCACGTGGTTAAAAAATGTGTATCAAAGCACATAAGCAGTCATTATGATTATGTAATTGTTTGCTTGTATGGGCCCATGGATTACTGACATATCCAACGATTATCCCCATAGTCTAATTGTCTCCATAGTCTAAAAACACGTTGAGCAACAAACTGGAATGACCTACTTTAATACCATCATTAAAAATAATTAAAAAAAATATACTTTTTTAAAATAATAAAAAATATATATATTTTTTTAAATATTGAAACTATTATAGTCTCAACTGAATCTTTATTCATACACACACACACACACATATATATATATATATATATATACACGCACACAAATACACCTCTTGACAACAAATATGTTTATGTTTTATTACTGATTACACTTGTCTGTAACTAGAACAGTGATACATTCCAAGTGATGTCTGTCTGCATACAGTTGTAGGTCTGATTGTGAATGAGACAGTTTTTCTCTTAGTCCATTTCTATTGTTGCAGGTAGACCAATTTCAATGTCCCGTGACTCTGAGTTTTGTAGTTCTCTACGAATCTCTGCTGAAATCTGCGGGTGTGTTTGTATCTTGAGAAGCTCCAATAACGCAGCTTTTTGTTCAGACGCTAAATCCGCTTTATAGCGCTGAGCCAAGGTGAGCAAGCTCTGATGCCACAGCACAGGAAGCACACGTTTTTCACTGCGGAAAGACAGGAAGTGAGCCACCAGGGCGTCTAGGACACGGAAAGGCAGGGCATACTTCTTGTCCAGCATCAGTCGCAAGAAAATACTGTTGGCGCCATTGTACTCCATCTCTGCCAATTTAAGCATTGCAGCACTGAAAGATAAGTAAGACAATGTATTATACAACTATATATCCCATATTATGTAAGGTTAAACTAACAGCATCCAGATCAGAAATCAATTAGCTGAGCACAAATTGCTGACACTGTTCGGACAAGATTTATTCATGGAAAGTATTACCTTGAGTGAAGCACAGGAATTGAGCATTTTGTGAGAATGCTTCCAATAATAATGGCTTCTCTAAGAGTGCATGTCCCTGATTCACATAGGGGGATCAATATACCTATGAAGACACAACACAGATGTTTTTTGAGATGTTACAGGAAGATTACTTAAGTACGCAATTCAACATTATTTTCTTATATAATTTTTTTTTTAAAAATATGCAGAAGATTTGTAGTGTAGTTTTATTTGAAATTTACACACTACAAAGATTGCCAAATAGCATTTTAAATAATAAAATGCTGACATGACACTGTGATAAACACTAGTATCTTTTTTCCATCAAGAGATTAATTTAAAGCGCTCAATATTCTTCTATTCAACAGTGCCCTCTAGTGGCAATATTTACACAAACCAGCTTTTCGATGTCATAACAATTGATCTAAATACATAACATCTTAAAACTGCGGGGTTTTTTTTTCCTTTTACATGTTGAGAAATCTTACCTTTAAACCATGCCCCGGGTTTGAATAAAGCTTTCTTCAGGGCACTGTACAAATGAAAATTGAGTCGTTTATACTCTGCAATATCATCTCGTATCCGTGGTAACAAGACCAAGTTGTAAAACCTCTGAGCCATACGCTCCTTTAAATTTGAACAAAAGATTCTGGAAAAAAAAAAAAAGAAATAGACAGTTATTGCTGGGTTTTGGATGGCAACATGACCATTAACTGATTTAGGATTAATGTGTCTGTAATTAATGTGGCTAAATATCTTGGTTTATTAATTATTTTTAAATAAATTAAATTGTTTGTTTTAACTGTTGCAAGTTACCCCAAAGCCGATAAGCCTCAGCACCATTATATAAAAATAGTTGCCTGGAAATCTAGAAGGATATCTCTCTGTATTTGTTAAACAGATCCATATTAGCTGCTGGTACAGCGGCTTTCTGGATTTTTCCAGGCAATAAAAATAGAACTTTTAAAAGTGAAAAAAAAAAAAAAAAGAAAAAAAGAATTATGTTGTTTCTTTAAGATGGGGGGGATTACTTTTATTATATAAAAGTAGGAGATTTGATATATAGCTACATAATAAAGCTTCTTACTTTTTACAGGGTCCTCCAGACCAAAGCAATTTTTAGCTGTTGGGAGCTGGTTGAAAGTTTTGTGCAAGGCATTTTTATTTGTGCATTTTATACACAAGGCACCTTTAGGAGCTTTAGACAGACCCATCTAACAGTATGACAACCTAATCTAGAAGAATCTAAAAACCCATTAAAATATTCAAAAGTAATTAACTCAATTAACCTCGTTGCTTGGTACATTGCAGCAGCAGTCCAGCTTTCAGGCTCAGTCAAATATAGGATCTGTTCCCAGTTAGCCAGAGCTGGGATGATTTTAAAAGCTTTAGGCAATTTTCCACTGCGATATTTGGACAGAACCTGAAGAAAAAGAGTCTAATCAACTAAAAAAAAATTTTTTTTTCAAATTCTTTATTTATTGATTTGAAAGTCTTACCTTTCCAACTCCTCTGTACACTTCTGTTACCCTAGGGTCCAGCTGTGGCATTGGACATCCTGATACCTCTGACATCACAGTTCCTACCTCAGTTTGTTTTTCTGTTATTTTTTCCATAATAATGTCAGCTAAGGTCCGCCTGAAAAAAAAAAAAAGTTTTAAAGCCTTTTTATATTTTTTTTTACAACTTATTCTCACCAAAGGCATTTTAAAATCCTACATTTTATCTCTGATATGACCCTTGTACATAATGCAACCTATTCCTGTAAAATATTCTAAGAAATATTTGGTTGTGTAAATTGCTTTGGTAATATTTATATACTTTTTTGAAGCCCCTAGCTACCATGTAATACTGTGTTTGGGGGTTAACAAAAAGAAAAGCCTCAAACCCAAAGTGTGTAAGTACCATTATATTGTAATTAGTCTATTCTCACCTCACTGGAGGATTCTTGTTCATGAACATCTCAATTGCCTTCTCATCATCGGCATCGACAACAACCTCTGTGTCAAATCCAACATCACTGGATCCAGCATCTCCCAGCGCAGGCCACTCTTCATCTGAATCGCCATCGTTGGTGTCTGACCCTGAAAAATGAAAGCAAATCATACAGTCAGTGATCATTATGTTATAATTTGGGTGGTAAGATGATTTTGGTTCCTTTTCATGTTTTTGGTGAATTATGAGAAACCAGGAACCATTATCCCACTATATCACACTCATACCCAATTTGACACTTGTGGACTAAATTGATCTTTTTGTAATAACAATGTTGTGAGATGTATGTGTGCAGTATTTCTTGGTTAACTGCATTTCATTTAAATACTATTATTAACGGCATAAATATGATTGAATTAAAGCAATTACTTACCAAGGACTGTGACTGGTGTTTTCTTCTTCTTTTCAGGAGCCAGGCCATATTCAGTCTGGAGCTCCTCTTGTTGTATTCGGGCTTGTTGTAAGATCTTCCTTGACAAGCGTTCATCCACATATGTATCCTCATTTTGCTCCCGGGAGTCTCTGCTCTTCACACGGCCTCTGGCTCTGACTGTGTCGGCCTCCTGGATCTGGTCTGCTAGCGCCATAGCTCCGCTTTTTTCCCCTCCTCGGGACTTTTTCACTTTAGGCATGTCTGCACGGCTGTGTTCTCCAACTCCACACAATATCTGATGGTAATTTTGAACTAATAACCACTGTCTCAGAGGATAAACATTTACTGTGTAACACGTGCGGTGGAGGAAGGACTGAGCGGAAGTGACGTAATCAGAAGTGACTTTAAATTACATTAAAATGTTATCAAATTAGATTGCTATTGCGAATTAATTATTGAAATTCTCAGTGTATCTGCAGAATATCTCATATTGTTATTTTTTCCGCAAAAATACGATAAAACAAAATCAAATACTCACGACCCGGAAGTAGTAGATGAAAAAGCAACTGCCGTCTATGGTCTGAAACAAAACAATGGGGGTAACTTGGTGAGATATAAACTACCTATGTACAGACATTAGCGTGGCTATATTCTGATATCTTAATCTATGTGTATTGTAAACTTGTATGGCTGTGTATTTAGCGTGTGCCAGGTGCCTGTGGCGGAGGGAAAGAGCGTGCAACAGACAGTGGACCTCCTGCATAAGAAGCTGGAGCAGCTTGGAGCCGTGAAACAACAAGGCAACTTCTGTGTGGACTGTGAAACATATCACGCCACTGCTACAGCCAGCGGTAAAATACTCACACTTTTTATGATGTGCATATTGTTTTCAATATCCAAATTCCACAAGTGTTGGTTAATAGGCCCATATATATATATATATTGCAATTAATTAATTACAGTCATATTTAGCGCGTTATGTTTTTTAATCGCGTTAATCTCATTTTTAATCTCTAACTTTTTCTGTATGCGAGTTGCTTTATTATAAAACCAGTTTTTATGTGTTGTTGGGACAACAACAACACACACACACACACACACACAAAAAACACATTTATAATTTTTTTTTCACAATGGACGAGGTCGAAGAGCCAGTAGAACAGAGTCAGCAGTGCACAGGTAAAAACGCATTCGTGTCTTGGAAATTATTCTGCCGACGTGAAATATAAAAGAAAATAACAAATATAAAATTACTTACAACTTAAATGTCACTGGTGAAAACAACCTGCATAGGTTCATGATGTCTGCACTACTGTCCTATAGTGATCTGCCACATGAGGGGACACGCACACAAACACACACACACACCTTCATCATCGTCATTAACCTGAGAACGCGCGGACCACGTTTCCTTCCGTAGTTACTGCGCGGACACCGACGTGCTCCCGTGCACCTCGTGTGGATCGTGTTTTCTCGCGTACGCTGCGTAAACTGCGCTTCCTCCTGTGCGCCTCTAAACCAGAACTAACACCAAGACTAAAACCAGGACTAATCCAGTCCAGGACTAAACCAGGACTAAACCAGGACTAAACCAGGTCTAAACCAGAACTAACACCAGGACTAAAACAGGATTAATCCATTCCAGGACTAAACTAGGACTAAAGCAGGTCTAAACCAGAACTAAAACAAGGACTAAAACCAGTGATCTCATATCTAAAGCATTTCTCTATCAATAATATTTTTAATATGGTTAAGGAAAGACTGGACTTTTTATTGTCTTTAAGTAGACAAAGGTTATTATGTTCAGATTTCCTCGTCTTTGCTACTTTACAGCAAACAGTTTCTTATTCATGGAGACTTGGGCTCAACAGCCAATTTGGAGAGATTTGTTAAACAATAAATGACTTTATAAAGTCACTTTTTTTAATCTATATCAGTCTTTTGATCTGCCACAATAATGTAATAATGAATTGAAATGAAAATACCTCAAATTGAAGGCTTTTCTCAGCAATTTTTAGGTGAGATTAAAATGAGATTAATTAGATTAATTAATTACAGATCATAATTAATTAATCTCTCAATTTTTTTAATCGCATGACAGCACTATATATATATATATATATATATATATATATATATATATATATATATATATATATATATATATATATATATATAAAATGATATGTTATTATCATAGTTTTTTTTTTGTCTCCAGGTCAGCCCTCTAAGCTGCTTTATGTGATGCACAACTCTGAAACTCCACTGAGCTGCATGGCCTTGTTCGAAGGGGGCCCTTGCCTTGTGGCTGATGCAAATTTTGATGTTCTTATGATAAAGCTGAAAAGCCACTTTCAGAATGCCAAAGGACACAAGGTGGAGTGCAGAGGGTCAAAATATCGTTACAGTGACTTCTCAATCAAAGTTGGAACGGTGACAATGAACTCCAGTGCTAGAGGGATATCAGTCGAGGTATATATTGTATAATTATTCTACAATACTACTTGATATAAGCACTTACTTAATGTGATAATTTAGTTCAAACAGCCACTGGATCATACATAACATTATTTCTTGCTGTTTTTAGGTGTTACTTTTTTCTGTGTCATGCCATTAGTACTATTATTGCAACCTAAAAACATTACTTTACAAAAAACTACTTTTAAGTCTCTCATGGCAACACTGACAATAATAGCGGCTAATTCATTCTGTTGAACTAGTAACAAATCCATTGTCTACTGTCTTTTTTGAAGTACAATAACCGCATACAATATGCTTTTACTTTTTAAAAATGTTGTTTGTTTGATAGGTGGAATACTGCCCCTGTGTGGTTCCTGGGGACTGTTGGAATCTCATGAAGGAGTTTATGCAGTCTTTTCTTGGTTCAAATGTTCCTGAACTACCCTCTGTTTTCACTGTGAAACCAGAAGGGCTTTTTGCTCCATCAGACTGTATTGACACCATGACGCAGTATCTGGAGTTGTTCAACAAACTTCGAAAACTACAAATGCCTGGAAGTAATATGAGAGTATAGATTAAGACTTTTATCATTTGTTGTCAAACATTCATTGCGCTGTGGATTAGTAATTATTTGATTTATACAATGTCTATTAAATTACTAAACTTTTTATATCATAGCCTTGCCATGTTAAATCTGTGTACTGTTTCTTAACATTTAAGTGACTGATTTTATATCGCATTTCCTGTTTTATATTCTACAAGAGCTAAACAATACTACCAGAATCAAAATGTGTATCAAAGTGTGACCAAAACTAGACTGTGATTACTGACCAGGAGAGAAACAACAACGTTTAACAGAGTTTAAGTAATTTAAAAGTATGTCCATGCAAGCCCTCAGACCCCATTCAGGGGGGGTTACAATTTACTGTACATTTTATGTTATTACTATATTTTACATAGATATACTAACTCTAGTAGACCTTTTGCCTATGTTTTTTGTCAATTATACGGTAAGCTATTCACTAGAGCATTGGCTTTGGGAATAACAAAACAGATCATTGCGTGCATCATATTTTTAGACAGGGGTAGGCAAGCTTATGGGTTAAAACCAGTTTTATTATTTTGTTCCTTATTGATGATGCAGTCCAGCTCAGGGCAAAACATGAACGGATCAATAATGGAAGACAAAAATCTTTCAAGTGAAAAAAGCTCTATTTCCCCATCAAGGTGCCAGACTGATACATATAAAGCCTTTGTTGTGGGTGCATGGATCAGCTGACACATGGATGGCTTTGGGGGACATAAGGGTCAGACTGGCAGTGCTGTCCTGGTCATTGTTCCATGTGGCTACCCGCCCTCAGTGGGTGGACGGACGGACCAAACCAAAGATGGACAGTCCGCCCTGCTGCCTGTTGTTCCCCCATCCCGCCAATGAGCGCCGCGATGCCGCTCCATGCCAGTCCAATGAGAGCACCTCGGATCGAGAAGAGGACAACAACCAGCTCACAGTGTGCCGGATGAATGCATGTTGGCTATGGTAAAGTCTTTTCTGGTTATTATCAACGATTTGTGTTAATGTACATGATTTCTCCGATTATCAACATTTGTATATAATGTGGGCAGGGGAAGTATGAAGATGAAAGGCGCAGTTCGCTAGGTTAGCTACATTGGTACAGCATCAGTGTTAGCGAGGTCGCTGCCCAATTTGCATCAGGCATGCGGGTGTCTCTTGACTTTAATAACGCAAACGACGCTTCATCTGCTTGAAATATTCAAGCATGTGTTTCTTAATGTTGAAATACTGAGCTGACATCGATATCAATTTATTGTAATTCTGCGATTTTTAAGCCATGATGAACGCAAGGAAAAGCAATCCAAGAACATTTTGGAGTTTATACATTGTATATTTATCATACTTTGATTGCTTCAGATGGTGCACGTCTTGTTAAGTCGTGTTATTCGTGAAATTATTCACTGATTTCAAGTATAAGCTAATTACAATAGTTTGAAGACAAAAAGATAATACATTTTTGTCCAAGCCTCTTTGCCGTACTCAACATGGTAGGCTTGCGGCGCATGCGCAAATCACTTTTGCTGCAAATTTTGTAGTGAAGCAAATCGGGCTGCGACCAGCGGCCAACAACAATCACTGATAACTTCGATTGTCCTCTGCGAACCTCTAAACTGCGTTGACCACGCCAAAGTTTCGGATCATGGCAAGCTAAAACGCAAACTTTTATTACTTTGTGTATGTGATGGTGTCAGTTGTAACAAAAATGTGTGTTTCTTGGTAAGATAATAAATGATTTTAATTAGGATTTGTGGTGTAAGCTAGCGGTCAGCAGAGCTAGCTCTGACTACTGCCTCACCAAAGTTCTTGGTTGTTCCTCGAGAGAGTCTCTGGTCTTTGTTCTGAATGATGGAGGAGTAGTTTAACATGGCGATAAGGCCAGTCTCCTGGAGCCAGACACCAAAGACGGACAAGACAGACGAAACCAGCGTTAATGCGGAAGATTAATTAAAGAGTAAGAGAAGATCACATTTCAAAACATGTTACGGCACCGAAGCCCTTTACCTCTCCATTCTAACGGAGCATTGTTGCAGTTTACCATTATACACAAATTGGCGCTCCTATGCTACATATTTACAATTTTTATACTCTAAACCTATCATGAGGAATGCAAGGTTCCTAACTGAAAAAAATTTTGAGCTTGACACTGATTGTGCGCACATCACATTACTTGCTAATACTTGTATTTTACTTGTTTCCAGATTTTTATCTATGTGGTGAACAGTGGATCAAGCTAAATAAAATGCGTGATGTGATTTGTTGGTGGAAATAATACGTTTTCTAGTGAGTAATTACTTTGGTTTGATTATGTTGAATATATTACTTAAAATGTTAAATGTTTTGTTTGTCAAAGTTGGAAAAGTTACATTGGTTTATTGATCATATTCATTGAATACCTAATGTTTAAATATATGTTTGCAGATGTGCTGCTGTGGGGCTGCAGGACATACGTCCTATTGTTGAGGCCACATGTGAATCTGAAGCCATGGATCGCTGTAAGCACGTGGGACGCCTTCGCCTGGGACAGGACCATTCAATCCTCAATCCACAGAAGTGGCAGTGTGTGGAGTGTAGCACCACCGACTCTGTGTGGGCCTGCCTCAAGTGTTCCCATGTGGCCTGTGGGCATTTTGTAGAGGAGCACGCTCTCAAACACTTTCAGGAGTCACAACACCCGTTGGCCATAGAGGTGCGTGAGTTGGACGTTTTCTGCTTTGCCTGTGGAGACTATGTACTAAATGATAATGCAGAGGGAGACCTCAAGCTCCTCAGAGGTGCTCTCTCTACAGTCCGCAGCCCGGGCAAACGCTCACTCCGCTCCTCTGCCGGAGCGGATGGTGCCCCTTGGCTCTCAGAAAATGGACCCCATCCAGGCATGCAGTTTGCTTCACGCTTTAGGAGGAAAGCACTTTTAGGAAAAATGTTTAAGATGTGGATGAACAAACACACAGAACGACAAGATCAGCAGCAAGAAAAACTTGAAGAAGCAAGAAGACAAAAGAAAGAAGTGAAGAAGAGACTGCTGGATGAGTTGGGGAATGTTCCTCCCAGAAAGAGTGCTCGTCTTCTCACTCAGGGCCCTCGTTCCACCATCACACTTATTCCTCGCAAGTTTAGGGACCCTCCAGAACGGCTACCTCCTCCCCCCAAAAAGCCTCATCTTCTGCCCTTGTCTCCCAAGCCCTCTCAGAACGGGAGAGCTGCTAAGTTGCGGAAATATTACTCCACACATGCTGTTTCTCGACGCAGACTGGCTCCGGGTGTTACTGGACTGCGTAACTTGGGAAACACATGTTACATGAACTCAATATTGCAAGTTCTCAGTCACCTGCAGAAATTCAGGGAGTGTTTTCTCACATTGGACCTGTGTGAAACAGAGGAGCTGCTGGCTAAAACGAATCACGCTCAGCAGATGAAGGATGTTGCAGGAGGAGTTGTTAGTTGTGTTGACACAACTCTATCTGGTTGTCCTCTGGGAGGTATTGGGAAAGAGGGGAGTTTGAGTCTCTCTGAGGGTGTGAAGGAAGCTGCTCCTCCACCTCAGACCGCTGAGCTGGTCCAACCCAAAGAGCCTCGCAGCTCCACCCGCCAGCGCATGTCTTTGTGCCATGAGTTACACACACTTTTCAGAGTGATGTGGTCTGGCCGCTGGTCGCTGGTGTCTCCCTTTGCCATGCTCCACTCCGTGTGGAACCTTATCCCAGCGTTCCGTGGCTACGACCAGCAGGATGCCCAGGAGTTCCTTTGTGAGCTGCTTGACAAAGTTCAGCAGGAGCTGGACACAGAAGGATCTAAGTGCAGGATTGTTATCCCCATCACCAAGAGGAGACTTTCTAAGAAAGTGTTAAAGGTTCTTAATACCATCTTTCACGGGCAGCTACTCAGTCAGGTGAGATGAAATACCCAGTCCAATAGCTCTGAATTAGCACATTGTTGGAATGCTCAGTTTGTGGTCTGTTTATGCTTCTTCTCTTCTGATTGTGTATTTTAGGTGACGTGTTTGTCATGTAAGCACAAGTCTAACACCATTGAGCCATTCTGGGACTTGTCTCTCGAGTTTCCAGAGCGTTATCACAGTGTAGAAAAAGGGTCAGGCTCCGCAGCTTACCAGCGCAGCTGCACTCTCACTGAGATGCTGTCCAAGTTCACTGAAATGGAGGCTCTTGAAGGCCGCATTTATGCCTGCAATCACTGCAACAGTAAGTTTTATTCAACCTATTCATACTAGCCTGGCAAGCATACGGGATAGCTGTATCCAAAATGTTATTGCATATAATTTCATTCTGTGTCTTTGAGCTAACTGCTTTCATTGCTTTCATTAGAAAGAAGAAGAAAATCCTCCCATAAACCCTTAATTTTGTCAGAAGCAAGAAAGCAGCTTCTGATCTACCGTTTACCTCAGGTTCTACGGCTGCACCTCAAGCGCTTCAGGTAAGTTTCTCAAATGGCTTAATGTCATGGAGAGCAGATCTCACTTTTAGATGACTTAAGTTGTCTTAAATTTTCTGCCATGATTATAAATACTGTGCTTATGTGGCAGATGGTCAGGGCGTAACCATCGAGAGAAGATCGGCGTCCATGTGGCCTTCGACCAGGTCCTGAACATCAAAGCGTACTGCTGCACAGGTGCGGGTCAGTCAGTGCACAGAGGAGGTTATGTGTACGATCTGTCTGCTGTTGTCATGCACCACGGCAAAGGCTTCGGCTCAGGGCACTACACCGCATACTGCTACAACACTGAAGGAGGTGAGGACCCGAGGATGTCCTTGTTTTCAGATTTTTTTTACCTCACTTTTTTTTTTTTTTCCTCTTCAGGTTTCTGGGTCCACTGTAACGACTCTGACATGAAAGTTTGCAGCGTGGAAGAAGTGTGCAACACTCAGGCCTATATTCTTTTTTACACCCAGAGGTCTGCTTAGAAACCTCATAGGTACCTCTTGTTGTGATGTCAACCACAACTTAGAAACTTAGGGCTGCATTTAGAATAAATGTTATCTGTTCCCTGATTTAGGTTAACAAATATTTTACAAAGTCGAGTGAAATTACTATAAAGGATAAACAGGACAATAATGACTAGTAAAAAGTCTGACAAGTCATACATTTTAACAGGTTAACACTGTTTTGGTTGAGAGTTGAGAGTTTTTATACAACAAATCCAAAAACATTTTGCATAAATGAGGCCAGGGGTTTCTCAGCCTGTGGTACCAGCACATTCTCATCCGGCCTGAAGACTGTGGGAGCATTTTTGAATCTGTCCATTTTCACAAACGACCAGGTTCATGACTGAAACGCCCAGATACTTGCGTCAGCATTCACATGAAATAGCAACATAGACACTAGAGTTAAAGGCATTTATTGCGATCATACGTGCATTTTGATATAATATTATGTTTTGTAAATGCACAATGTTTTGTTGGAGATGATTGATAATAGAACCGATAACTCTGAGTCTGCGTTGCCCCTTATTGGTGTCATTCTGGTTCATACATTCCATTAGTTTGTGTCCTCTCCTCAACTGTACTGCAGTGACTGAATACTGTGTCTCTGGCCTTAGGCCTTTGTGCTTTTCTCAGTGAGCGCAAATATTTTATTTTATTTTTTATTTTTTTGTTTCTTTTTATAGAAATGTTTGACTTCACACTAAAGAAATGGTTTAATTTGGTATAAGGCTGCATTGAAGCAGAGGGCATGCGGCTTCAGTTGTATCTGTGGCAGTGTGTTTTGGCTCCTGTCCTCTGTAAAGGCAGCTGTTGTAGTGGTCAGTTTGGACTGAGCCCAGACTGAAAGACTTAAAGATGAGTCCAAGAGCGGACTGAGAAACAGATGAATGTGTTTTGGCGAGACTTGCCCAGTTTAGTTAGAGCACCTAAAAGCAATATTTTAAACATCTTGCATCTTGACAGGTAATTAAAATAAATCAGGAATTCTTCTGGTTGTTATACAATGTTTTTTTACTCTGCTGTTTCTACCAATGTCTTTAGGATTACTAGATAACCAGAAAAGCTTTTGCATTTGATACAAATCAAATGTTGGCTAAATTTGTGAACACTGAAAAAGTTGGAACAATCTAATGACAATGAATGTCTTACTTTTTAGTGGCCAGGTTCATGCCACTGATTTCGAGTTATGTCTTGTAATGTAAATTACCTGTCATAAATGTAACAGTCATATGGATTTTGGTTTATGGTAAATATTAAAACATCTTTAAAAATCTTTTAAACAATATCTTATTTTGTAAATATTGTTGATTTTTATTATTATTTTTTTAAACCAAAATAACAACTACATCTTGTGTTCTTTGACCATTCGTCCTAATTCTGCCTTTATACTTCATCACCCTTTAATCCAATTAATTCTCTAAAATATTACATAATTGTTCAAGGAAAATGGGACATATCCATATTTGAGAAATGAACACAAATTACTCAATAGGTTGTCTTATTAATTTGTCTCTGACCTACCTTTGTAGGAGAACTAGACCACGATTGCCAGGAAAGTCCACAGTGATAAAATTTTGAAAACAGATCTGTGGCAAAATTAAGAATCAGTAAAACATTTGGCACAATAAGAAATTGTGATAGAATTCAATCTAATATATGAAATATTTTATTTTTACATTAATAAAACAGCAATGTTTTGAAAACTGTATATAAATGTAAATACAACATGCCAGCTGAAATGACCTTGTGTTGAACAAAAGCTGTTTTACTACAGTACTTATGGACAAGCATTAACAGACAGAAACCGCTGTAGTGAAAAAACAGTTCATTTGGCCTGAAGACAAAAGAAAAAAATTTAAAAGCATTGCTTCAAAACACTAGAGGTGTAAACCATGATTGACATTGAACACATCTGAATTGTACTTCAGACAAATGGCAGTTTCTGAAAGTAGTATCAGTAAATAATAGCCTCATGCCAGTATAGATGCATTTAAATGCACATATTTGGACATGCATGAGTACATAACATTCAAGAAAAAGCCTTTACTTCCTAAATACATGATGAATATTGGACATGAGGTAACAACAACAGATGGTAGTGCTCAGTCAGTTCAAGTGGTCCTAGTCTGAGTGAAGCCAAATGATCACTTATTTGTATGATATTGGTGACAACAGGCGATCCAGTAGGTTAATGCTTAATGAAAAAATAAGTGTTGTGGTGTGTTGAATAACATTGGTGTAAGGTTTGTCCACAAGTGCCTTGATTTGTCCCTGATATCCTTTGACTCAGCTCAAAAGACAGTAAAATGGGTTCTGTTCTATTTTGGCCTTAACTGGCTCAGCTTGGCAACAGCCACAGCTCCACAAAATCCCACTGTTTCCACAGGACGAAGAGTAGCACTGTGAGCAGCACTGTGGCCGCCACACGGGCACGGGTCTTCATCAGGGGAGTGATGAAGTTGGCCAAAGTGGAGACAAAGACCAGGAGCACAGCCATCAGAGCCAGGATCACGTTGATAAGTTTCCCGAGGAGCGCTCGGGCATTGGCGTTCTCCACTCCCTCCAACTGCACTACCTGCTGCTGCTGCTGCTGCAGCTCCAGCTTTGTGATGCGGGTCAGACAAGACTCCACTGCCTCCTGCATGTACACAAGACATATATTATGTGATATTGCTACTTACACAGTGGACTAGCATACGAGTACTTTCTTTCCTAGAAACTGCAGGTACCTAACTGAACTTTATCCAAGTAACTATATCATACTTTCCTATGCAAGGATTTCCTATACTGGTTAAGAGAGATGTGAGTTCCCTGTATACTCTAGACACATGGGGAAAGACCCACAGCAAACAACATTGTACCTGAATGTCTCTGGCTCGTTCGTATGACTGATAGGCCACCTTCTCCTCCATGCTGGCAAGTTCCTGTTTGAGATTGGTCATCTCATTCTGGTGCAGCTCCGTCAGGTCATTGAGCTGCTCCTCCAGTCTTTCATACCTGAAGACACATGATTATTGATCTCATCTCTATATTCTGCACAGTATTGTGTGGTTATCTGTGTGTGCTGTTACCTGTATCTCTCTTCCTGCAGGCACTGTGTCATGTATGAGTAGTCGCTCTGCAGTTGCCCTTTCATGTCTTCAATGGTGTCCTCCATGTGTGCCTGCCCTGCCTTTATCTCCTGCAGTCCCTCCAGCAGAGACTCCCAGGAGCTGTGCATGTGGTGATGATGGTGATGATGCCCGTCCAGTCTGGGGCTCCCCATGGCTGCTCCTAAAATGCCCACTCCACCTCCTGCCCCACCAGAGTTACTACCTGCTGCCGACCCAGAGGTGGCGCTAGAGCACTCGTCGTCACTGCCGTACTTGGGACTGGACACTAATGTAGCGCTCCCACTTAGGGCTCGAGGTGTAGGGGTGTCCTCAGACTGACCACCCACCCCGTCTTCAAGTGTGTCTTTAAGGTGAGCTATGTTATCAGCGCTGCCAAATTTGTTCCTGATCAGACTGGCAAACTCTCTAGGCTTTGACACGACAGCAGTGTGAGTGAGGGCAGAGACCCCTCCTTTGACCCCTTCAACGACTCCGCCGCCAAAACCACTTATTCCAGCACGAACATTGGCCCCCACATCTTTCAATCCCTGCTGCATGTCCCGGAGCACGTCCTTGGGCTGCCGGGCTGGTCCATTCTGTGGTAATAAAAGACACAACATGAATGACACCAAGTAGGAGGTCCTTAAGTGTTAGGACTATGTTGATTACATTTATCCAACATAACAAAAGGTCTAATTAATTTTATGAAAAAACTACGAATGTTTAATTCATGTGTGTACATAATGTATTCTTTACATTCTCAATAAGGATTGCAAAAGCCTATCCCAGCAACAGTGGCATTAAAAATGTACATTATTATACAGTTTTCAGGGCTTCACACAGTAAGACCAAAATCAATTAATTCTTCTAATGGCCAATTTAAAGTCACTATTTAAATGTAGTGAATATCTTCTGTCAAATTAGAGTTTTGATTTAGTCAGTTTAATTAAACTGTCCATGGATTAACTACTCTAGTTACACCTGTTACAAATCCCTGTTCCTTGTCTTTGAATAGTGCAAAAGAGTCCAGTGTCAAAACTGTCAAATTGTCACATACCTGTTCAATTTCCTTTAGCTTCTTGTGATAATGCTCTAGTTTCTTGTGCAGCTGCAATGGTCTGCGCAGACTTTTGGTTCTTCTTCTCAAACACTTGCTTGATCCTTGATGCCTGTTGCTTGTCTGCGTTGTGAGCTAGTTTTAGGTACTCAGCCACATTGTCATCACGAGCCTCCTGCTCCACTCGGATTTGTTCTGTGACTTTGAGGATCTTCTGCTGGAGATGTTCGAGAGCGAGCCTGGTTCTTTGTGGTTCCCCTGGAAGTTCACCCCCGCTAGCTCCGGACGCGGCTGCTGCTCCATCTGCGCTGATGTTGGTGTCAGAGCCTCCATGACTTGGGGCAGAGGGTAGGCCTAGCGTGGACACCTCACTCTTGTCCAGCTTGGGAGAGAGGGTACAAGATAGTGTATAATAAAAAAGCAGCATTAAATATTGTATCAGTTAATATTTAATTATTATGAAACTGTCCCTATATCTCATTAAAGCACATCTTCAAGAACAGATATGTGAATTACTATACAGTTCAAGTTATCTTAAGAGTCAATTTAATCCACATGTTTGTCTCCTTTCAGGGTAGTCCTTATTTAAAATGAAAATAAGCAAGCAATCTTGTAGTACTTGACCTGCTTTAGATATGGTGACATCCCAGAAGGTCAAATATTTCTGTAGGAGGGAATTTAGATTTGGTTTGACAACCACTGCTGTAGAATCCGTATCAGTATCCACAAGAACATGTGTGACTGAATCAGGAAAACAGTTACAAACAACAGTGTCTTAACACAGCAATGAGAGTGCACTGATGCACAATGTAGGCTAATTCATAGGATAAGGGCAGATATATTTACTTCTGGGGCATCTTATGGCAAAGAGAGGGTAAGTATCAAGAAGAACAAAACTGAAAAAAACAGCCTTTGATACAACCTGTGTTTTCTCTTGGGAGCAGTGCACCATAGAGATGAATTTATTTACACTTACTTTATTTTCAACAACTCTACAAATCTGGGTCACTGGAGGAGGATCTCCTATTTTGACTCTATGGCAACAACATTATGACTATGGTGATAATAATAGCTCCATGCTGCACAAATAGAACACGATGATACTGAGCATGCAGAACGATCTGTTGAAATCAGCAAATTGAGGCTACAGAGCTCCCTGTGGTGTACACAAAGATGGTGACAATGCTTATTATAGCATCTATTGTGCAAACTACATCAATGTGACAGCAACCTAGATCTGTCTGACCTATCTCTCTCAAAGACAATATGATGCTCGTGTAATCCTTTTAAACAATGAGACACCCGGCCAACACGGGCCTATCATTGATCCACGCAGGGATTCCCTCGTCCAGGGGCCCGGAGTCTCTGTAGCTCGGCAGATGGTGGGGTCGTTAATGACCCTTCAGACTGACGTCAAAACAGTGTAATCGGAGCCTGAAAACACGAGTGGCACCAGACACATGGGTCATGGCACTAAATAGAACTGCTCTGGTGTCATAATAACAGGACGCATTTGAAACTCCGGTTGTACAGGCCTTGTTAAATGGACTCAAAAGCTCTCAGTGCTTGTTGTAAATCGGTTACAATTTGCCAGAGGCTACTAAAAATAGATGCGTAATTGAGAATAACAGACGACTGCAGTCGCTGTTATGAGGAATTTGCAGAACATGATGCGCGTGTGCAATGGAAACATGGGTGCAGAGTGTACCAAAGAATATGCTTCAATCAAAACACAACACAAATAACGGCACAACGGCGTTCAGCTGAAAGTGGACAATGAAATGGGGAGTTATTTGTAAGTTAACAAAAAATATTAGTGGTTAGTGCGGGATATACGGGGCAAAGATGGAGATGACAAATGTCTGTAGCGCGAAAAGCAGGATCTGCCCGTGGAGCACAACACACGCAGACAGACTGTGAGATGGGATGGACGTGGACATGATGAGGAATAAGCTGCACAGCTATAAATCAAATTAGAAACGTTACCATACTGCTTTAATCCAATATTTGAAGTGCCATTGCAAGTCTGTGCTCGAGGCCCATCCTCCTCCTCCCGCCTCCCCCGAAAACTGAGGTGCCCCTCCTCAACTCTCTCCAGCCCGAGTCGTTTTGGCTCCCTATCAACTCTTTGTATCCTAAAGCTTCATTGTTAATGGTATTGATAACTGCACCCACTCCCTCTCTCCGTTAATGGATCTATATCTCTGCCTTACCTTCGCTCCCCTGTCCCTCCCCCCTCCCTCTCACGGTGGTGCAGCCGCTATGTGCCCGGCTGTTACGGATGCTGCTGGAGCCGAGGGACAGATGATGGAGGGAACAGGCGGGGGATGGGAGAGCTCGGGCGCATGCGCACAGGTGCCAGGGGAGTCACCGGGAGGAGAGAGCAGTGCCGCTATGGGCCTTTGATCCCGTGTGCCTATGGAGCAAAAGAGAGGATAAGCGTTTAATATTCACCAAGCATGTAATTGTTAATCCTGATGATTCGAGATATAATATACACATTATGGTATAATTTACTTAATCTATTTCTATATGAAAACGGATAAATAAGGCCCAATCATCACACAATAAACTATTTAAAAAATCAATACTAAACCTTATCAAACGTTTTTTCAGGTTCAAATTAATACCGGCATTATAGCTATTTTGAGGGAAAGAAAATAATAGGCTTATGAATAATAACAATTTAACACATACATTTTTATGTAACATTTTATTGAATTTACAACTGTCAACCATATATCTAAAATTACATATATATAGAACATTTTTCAATAAATAAACATTTGTTCCTAAAATAAAACTTTTAGCTCCTGTGCATATGCATTTATTAACAGAAGTGCAATTCTGTTTTGGGGTAGTTCTATGGTTATTTCTTAAAACTGGGGAATGATTCAAAACCATAAGGTAAGAAATAGAAGTTTTCCTATTCAACACCCAGATAGATAACCCTCAGAATTTGCAGACATAAATATATACTTTTTATTTAGAGGCAGATAATGACAGGATTTCAAAATTGCACTTTCCTTCTTAAAGAATAAAGCACTTGGCTTTATTGTAGCTTAGTAAATCATTCTTCTGTCAACACTGTTTTGATTGTCAAATATCAGGCTTCAACTATAAAAGCCACTACAGTATTATTTTACAGGGGTACATAATTTGCACTCCAGCTGTTCGCCATGTATGTGCAATGCTGCAATACTGGAAATGCTACAGAGCTGTTTGAGCCTAAATAATAAATGTGTGAGACAGTATGGCTATATAACAAACTAAGATATATTTTAGTGTTTGAAGGAATCTCGGGCAACATTACTCTATGCAATACAAGTTAGGGTGTTGAAGGAGTACTGATGAAGGTCTAAAATACAATGGACATTCCTAACAAGATGGCACTTCTGTTGATCAAGAAAGCAAAGCAAGATCATGTACAGTAGATTACAATCCTTCTTATGAGTACAAAAACTGAACATTGTTGTATAAAAAAATCAAGTACTTGTATTTAAAAAAAACATAGAAATTAGCAGCAAAATGGTCCCAATTTTGCTTTCAAGTGTGTTCAGTAAAGTTTTGTTTCATATTTTTTCTGAAGGATGATCCATGATCCAGTATTCAAGGCTGTACTCAGTAGGAAATGTCGGTCAACTCTTGATAGCCTACCCTTGATCCAAACGAGTATAAATCCACTGATTCAGAGAGATTACTGCTAATCCTCTGCGCTTAAATGTCCCCTTCTTACCACTGGGAAAACAAGACCCTGCTTAGAGAGAAAGCAGTACCCTAATTAACCTCATACTAATGACAGCTAAATGTAGCCAGAGGTCCTTTCCATTGTACATTTACAGAGAACGCAGCCTCCTCCATCTTCTTGTATCAGCTACAGAGCAGTCAGTGTAGTTCTTGAGTGTAATGTGTTTTGTTCAGTTTTGGTAGCGCCACATTAAACAGTCATAAAGCATCACTCTCCAGACTTCCGTGGTTTTCCAACAACTCGCCTTTTGGCTTGATAGAAATCTGCAATGTAAAAAGGGAATTATGATTAATATTGAATTTACAAGCCCTCATTGTTACAGAAAAAAAACATCTATGAAGTACACTTTTCCTGCAGTACCATTTTCAGAATATTTATTTCTATAGGTCTAACAGTACTATTGGATTACCAAGAACCTGTCATTAATTACAATTAGTAATGTACCTGTAATGTTAGTTTGTTTCCTCTTGAGACCTGTAAACTCTCCTCGCTCTGGCGTTCGTTCTAACTTCTTCAGGTCCAGTGAACATCTCTCTGGGGATTGTGGGATGTTTTCCTTGTCACTCTGAGGTGACTCCACCTTGTGGGAAACTGCTGCTGCTATGCTGTTCCCCTCTGCTTGTTCCAACATACATGAGCGGTACAGCAGTGGCACCTTAGTGCCTGGGATGCCCTCCCATTGGAAATCACTGCTGTTCAAGGGCTTGTCCCGGATGAAATCAAAGCCCCAGCGGATGGAGGCCTCCTCCAGGTCTTTGCGCAGGGCAGCCTGGTACTCCACCTGCAGCTGGTCTCTGTCCACAGGCCCAAAGAGATTTCTCCGAGTCGTCCCGTTTCCCAGGGCTCCCAGGATGCGCTTGTGAGCAGCCATGTTTTTACACTGCAAAAAAGATGAAAAGATTATTCTCAAAGCTTCCGCATCACTCAACATAAAGAACATCCCGCTGAGATGAAAACACTCTGCTGGTGGCCAGTTTATGTAACCCTTTTTTAATCATACTGAAGAAAAATAAGAAGAATGTAGTCGTTTCAATTACAGAATAAATGTAATTATACTTACCATTGGACTAGCTCCTAAAGTAGCAACAGTTTGACATACGCATACTGAGACAAATACAGAAGGCCTGGCCTTTATAAGTCTGCCTCTGAGTAAGCTGACTCAGTGGTACATGCCTGGACATATTCTCACACAGACATGTGAGGGCAAAACACTGCTGCCGCCTCTACACTCACCACCAGGTGGCAGTATCACACCAGGCTCTGCCTCCACCCAACTAAAGTCAAATTAGAAAACACTGCAGTGGCAAGACAAAGTTTTTCTTTTCTTTTTTCTCCTTTTTTAACATACAACTGTTAAGATAATTAAAATTATTCTCATGAAATAACTAGATAATGAGTAATTTGGGTTAGCTCTAATAAATCACAAAAATGAAACAGGTTTATCTTTTCTGAAGGCACAGAGATCCTGATGAATTATAAATTTAAAAAAGGAGGAATTAACTTGTACAAAGGAGCATAATTAAAAACAACACCATATCCTCAAAAAACCTCTGAGTTCACCTGACGCGCAAGCAGCACACTTGCCTTTAGTCATGTAGAAACATGGTAATTTCGTAAACTCCTTCTGGGACTCACCTCATTCATGTCAGTCATGAATCATGACATTTCAGTGCTCTAACTGACAGATGTAGCCGTTTACTTTATTTATTTATTTTCTAATTTTGCATCTAATATAGGTGTTCTGTGTATTTTATTTATTTGACTTAGAATTTTCCATTAGAAAACAACTGTAAAGCATAAGATTTTTTAAAGACATCCCCCATTTTTCTTTTTATACTATTAAATATTATATAATATTATATATTATAAAAAAGGTATTGGTCATGTCCATACTTAACACATACAAGTTAATTTGCAAACAGATAACAGGCAATACAGTACAATAGTGAGGATAGTAGTCAAGTGGCTGATCCTCCCCACCCTGTTACATAAGGTGTTGCCCCTAGGTGATGTCCACAGACAAATATAACTATTTATTTGTTTTATTTATACCCATATCAGAGATTTGCCTCCAAAAATGCCAGCAGAATAGCCTACTTGCTAAAGCTTGGGACAGTCCTGGTAAATATGTTACATTTCACAAATTTTATTTTTTTGTAATGTTTGTAATAGTTTTTTTTTTTTATTTTGTTTTGTTTTTGCTGGCTTCTTGCACTCAACATTTGTCACATTATCATCCCTTGTTCATTCAATATTTCCTCTTATTCTTATTGGGGTAGTGAAGTACCACTCCCAGCAACTATAGGCTCTCAGTGGGGGTAAGGGTATTCTTCGAGCTGAAAATCAAACATCAATCAGAGTCTTTAATTGTCATAATCTTAATACATCTATTAATTTAAAAAAAATGCCCACTTATTTTTAATTATGAGTGACTTCCCATTTCGGTAGAGGAACTCATTTCGGAAAATCAATGAGTCACTTTCCCTCACTCAAGGCACGTGATAGGTACGCGTCAGACAGGAAGGGGCGTGCCAATCCAAACCGGGGCGTGCTCAGCGCTGTGGCGGGAGATCGCTGAGGCACGAATTGCAACTGAGGAACCGGCACTGAGCCTCCCCTGTCCAACTCACACCCTGCCCCGTTTACTATAACCTACACGTGAGCGTACAACTCGTGTATCCCAAACCAGACTGGGCTGTCACTGGGGACTGGCAAACGTCCACCATCATATCAGGGCACACAGAAAAACAACAACGTTTAGAGATTACATACGAAGTATATGAGCAAAGGTCTAAGAAATCAATAGCGTAAAATGTCAAAAATATTATAGTTCAAACGGTCTCCTTAAACGTGACAGGTATGTAGTCCACACTAAGAAAAAGGAAAAATAATGTAGTCTCGAATTTAGATTATAAATGTTACCAACCCTTATAGTACATTGTAGCCTAGTATTTATTACACAGGTCCATCACTTTGAAAAGAACGCAATAACGCCACGAACAGTCACAAACAGCATAACGAAGCAGGTTCAATGAAGACAGAACAGTTATTTCAAGTTCTACTTACATGTCAAGTTCTTTCAACGTGAAAAAATGTAATAATGTTGAATTGAAAAGAGTTTATCCCTTTGATTCACGAGTCAAAACAGGAGGAAGAAGACGCCCGAGGTTGTTGTAATTCAACTGAACCGAGCTCCTACAACGGTGCGTAAAGGTTGCGACGAGGAGGCTTCTTGATATTTTCTCCAAGTTTTCTCTCAGATTGGACGGATAAACTTTTATGAACTTCGGTGGGTGTGAACACTTCTTCCCCCGTGTAGAGGCGGAGTTTTCCGGCTCACACGTGGAATTAGTCCGGTAAACACACGAGAACACGTGAAAAATTGGCTTTCTCGTGGAACTGAGGAAATTCCAGTTCAGGACACAGCTCACTGCGCATGTGCAACTTTCCACTGCACGGGACTGGGCCATGGGACTGGGCCAGGACGGGACGGGCGGGGCGAGGAAGACGTGACACATCAATATTCGTATTTTGCTCATATGTGTCTAATATAATGGTCTGTAGAGGCTTCTACAGGCAATAACTTAAAACATTCTAACTACTTGAAATAGGCCAGTATGTTATGTGTTTCATCAGTAACTGCATGGTGCTGAATCCTTGACGTTTACCCAACTAACAAACGTTAACAACAAGTCAGGGAGAATGCTAAAACGAATGATTTATCCACATTTACTGTGTTAGGCTATAACTTACCATGAGTGATGAACGCTAACTTTAAACTTTGATGCCTGGCAAACACTTTTGATGAAAACAAAAATAACCTATATTTCTGTCAAAGCATGCACACCTATCTACATGCCTATATTTTTTCATATCCATTAAAATGAGTGACCTGTTTTGTGCAGTAAATAAATGCAGCTCATTTGGCATTTAAAGTACTCTAAAGACCTCTCAGTTGATTATTCAAGAAGTACCAAGGCCACCACTGTGTGTTGTTTTTTATGCAACTGTCTGTACCTGTCATTGCATAACATTCATGTCCTTTGAACCAGCAGCATCTATAAGTACATAAAGTACAGACATTAAATTAAACTATCTTGCTGGTTTACCATAGCGTTTCATTATTTTCGAAGTGCTATATTAAAATGAGTGTATCCACAAATAACTTAGGGATGTATTTGCATACTTCAGAAGGGTTGAAACATTTTATCTGTTTGTGCAAATGGACTCTTTGCACATAGAATATATTCTTATATGAACACTATGTTTCTGGGGCGCACCAGGTGTCTTGCTGAACCCCATTCTGTAATCAGCCAGTGAACCAGTGTATTACAGGACATGGTGTAGCCTACTTGAAGGGATTATTTTACTAGTGTCATCTTAATTTTACCGCTTCATTCCACATCAGGAATGCAAGAAGTCTGTCCGATCACTGGCAGATTGGGACTAAGGTGATCACTGGCTGCAGCCAGGATACACCATGGACCCTGGAGACAGGCCTGATGTCATATAACGTGGTTTTCATACACACATACAAAATCTAATAAATTAGGGGGTACAGAACAAGGGCAAGTCCAGTATTTGGACAATGACATGGCATATTGACACACTGGCTACATGACTCTCAGAAAGATAACGTTTAGGACCCTTACCATAGCAATTAACAATGTACAATAATTTAACAACACTTTCTAAAATATTATATCTTTTGAAAGGGAATTCATCAAAATGTTACATTATAACAGGAAGCTGAAAGCCATGAATATGAGGCTCACCTTCAAAATCTGTTGACTACTCATAGGCTACTAGATTGAATAGGCCTTGTCCCTAACACACTCACACTAAATTTAGCTTGAGAGATAAATTGAGTTTTCTGCGTTCTGTGGGCGGTATTCCGTGAAAGGAGCGGGTTCCTGTTACATAACAGTGAGTGGAAACACCACTGCTGTTGAGTGGATTTCCCGCGTGTTCGCAGCGTGTTCTGTTAACGCGTGTGGACCGTAACCATGGAGACTATGGGTGTATCGCAACTCTGCTCACTCCTCCTCCCTTCTCCTCCTTTCTCAGATCCTCAACTGAAAATCCAACTCTTGAGGAGAGAAGGTTATTAAAGAGGGAGTCTGGCTTTTTCTCATTGGTCTTCGGTACTACGGGGCGCGATTTAATGCTGCGAAATTGAGAATTTGAGATGTGAGGAGGAAAGTGAATATAAAAATGGGATGCACCCAAGGAATCATCTGTGCGCTGACGTCACACGCAGGCGGGACATTAGGTGAAAGGAAAAGCGCGCGCGGATTTGAGAGCGCCGTGTTTCGCTCTTGTGCCGCTAATATTCACGTGTACTTGTAGCGTGAAACAGACGACCGTGGGTTATACAGTCAATGGGAGTGACCGAGACACGCAATTGGGCAATGCGATAGTCTGGTGGGATGATAAATACTCCAGGGAAGGGAACAAACATTTTAGCACCATAGATTTAGCAAAGGTAATAAAATCTCTTGTACTGTCACCCCAAAATCTGATTATATCTGATTTCTAGACCTTTAAAATTACTTTAAGAACATGCAAACTGCACCCACAGTGAGTGGGTGAATGGACACGCTCCGAAAGAAAGCAGTTGCTTTTACCATTTACATTACAGTTCTAATATTTTAGCTGCAATGATCGAATGATAATCAGATTTCAACTCTTCAGTGATATGACCAAAACATATGTGGTCTAAAACTTCTAAAACGTCTGAATACGATCAGGACATAACGTAGTTCATAACAGAATATTAAAAGTAAGTAGCATAGCAATTGCAATTAAAAAAAAAAAAAACACGAGATGGTTGGGCGGTAAATTACAACTAATTTGATGAAAGGGTCAACTTCTAGGTACTGCTTACATAACATTCGTGATATATACAAGAAGCCCCTAGCTACCAAATGATTCGGTTTGCCCAGGAAAGCATGCTAGAACCAAACACTGAATGGTCATGTATTAATAAATGTCAAAAATAAATGATAGCTTTCCATAGTGTATGTCCCACTATCAAATTAATGTGATTAGCCTGATGTTGTTCAAAACTTGAATGTATGAACCTGCCCAAGAAACATTGTCGCTTATCCTCCCGGTTAAGGCATCAAGAGCACCACCATGCGAAATCGAGTGGTTATTGCAGGCATAACTTGCAGACAGTTTTAAGAGAAGCTTCAGCCTTTAAGAATAAATGCATCAACACATGTTGTAAACGACCAGTGTTTTAATCACACTATTCACATAGTATCAAAGAGAAAAAAATGACAACTTCATAACAAAAATGCTGCTTGCTTTTATTTCCTTTTCCCCATAGATTTGGACCTCTTTAAAAGCCAATCACTATTCCCCGATGTAAACCTTCACTATGAAGTTTAAATGAATAGTTTGGCTTGGGCACACTTTCTATATTAAAAAGCCTTTGTCATGTGAAGAATGAAAATTGTGGATCAAACTAACACAACATGTAATCATACACTTTACATTCAAAAACAAAAACCATTACCAATAGATGTTGATATACTGGAATGCAACAAAGAGGCAGAGCAAGGAAATACACCTGGACTATCCCAACCAAGGGGAAAATATAATTACAAGACAGAGAGACTAAAATGCTTGATTGTTTAAAAACCCAACTCAAATGACTAAATCATGTCCATATGAAACGGCAGAGTGTTGGCAACCGTTTTCTTCAGCTCCCTTTAAATCTAACATGTTCATTTCCTGTCATTCGACCTGGAGCGACTAGAGGGGGGGAGAGAAATATAGTTAGCACCCTAGAAAAAAAAAAATTCACTACATACCGTTTTAGCAACAAAACCAACCTCCTAGAGCGTGAAAAGGATCTTGAGGGTTTGTTGTTCCTCTCCCGAGAAAGCGACCTCTCCCTCCTCCTATCCCTAGAGAAGGATCTGTGAAATAATGAGGCCATTAGCAAAAAAAATAAAATTAAAAATTAAAAACACACACAAAAGTAAAATTGTACCTGCTTCGACTGCGGCTAAAACTTCTCCTGCGTGGTGATCTGCACAGCAAAGACAGAACTGTTTACCGAAACAGTTTTTATAGCCTCAGCCACTCATCTAAATTCATGATGGTGTTAGTTATCAAATACCTGAGCCTAATGTATAATTGTGAAAAACTGAAAACATTTAAAGCCAGGATAACAATGGATCATGTCTGAAAGTGTTTTAGAATGAATTAACGTCCAACGGTAAATCATGCACTTCAAAGACATTTTGAGTAGTAGCACTTAACACTTGCCATCATGAAATTTTTCCATGGCACAAGAATGTAAAAAGGAAATTGAGATAATACTCTGGGTAGCAAGAAAGGTAGCTGTTCAAGAAAAAAAAAAATAAAAAGAAATTTTGATTCTGAGGGGTAATACTGTTAGAGGCCAGAGACAGACTAGAGGATAAATCCAAAATTGTAAAGTTGATGAATCGCTGCTTAATAAGAAATTATTAAAATAAGAAAATCAACAACCTTTGTCAACCAGCTTTATCTTCAAAACTATAAATCAGCAGTGTACTGAATGAGGCAGGAAAACTTACTAGTATTTTTGGATTTCAACAAGCTAGATATGACGAAAGGGAGGCAGACTGTCAGCCGGGTGGGTGGGTAGAATTGGCTGAATAGGACTGGCCAGATGCTGCAAGGTGACTAGGTGGCAGGCAGATGGGGGCTGGCTGAAGCTTTTTTGCTGCTTTAATTGGTTAGCCGAAGGCTGCTGCTGGTAGGTTGTAGACATTTGAGAACATATTACGCTGATTGGTGAGGAATGTGAGGTGGGCCGCTGCCGTTTGGGTTAAGGTTGAAGGAGGAGAAGGTTGAAAACGGCATGCTGAGGAACCAATGGGCTGGTGCAGCCTGACGACTGGCCGTGCCTGGGTCGTAAACAGCACCAGCCAAGCTGAGTGGGGCACGATGTCAGCAGGTACGTGATGCTGAAAGAGGACTAGTTGACTGACTCAGAGGGTGGTGAGAAGAGGCATGGTGGTGGCTCTGCAACGGGTTTCATTCTTATTAATATAAATGAAAAGGATAGAAAAATGCATCAAATTTGGCACTTAACACTCGCAAAATTAAATCCTAGGAAATAAACCCTTTTGGTTTGTATACGCTGTATAAACAGTTTAGAAGTTGTTAAGTTAAATGCTATGATGGAAAATGAATAGTTAAGTATTGAAATTTTTGTAAAATACTTTTTGGTATGTGTATACTAAAATCCAAATATCTGGCTATATCCTTTAAAATATCCAAACATTAAAAGAGATAACAGAATAAGAAGTCCTTGACTGCAAAGACAAATTGTCAGGACTGTGGATAAGAAAACGGGTCAGTTTTCATAATGCATATAATTATGGACTGACTCAGACTTTGTGTCACTCTGGACTAAGTTACCTTCTCCTGGCTGGTGGGCTTCGACGTCTGTAATCATCTCTTTCTCTGGGACGCCTGCTCCATGGAGGGGGTGCACCACGGGAACGGCTGCGCTTCTCTCCATTGGACAGCTCTACTCTCACCCGGCAGTTACACATGGTCCTATTTTATCAAAACAGATTATTGGTTGATTAAAAGGAGACTCTTTTGATCAGGTTTTGTAGCTTCATTGCTTCTTACCTTCCATCAAGCTCTCGCACTGCATCAGTGGCATCTCTGGGATCTTCAAACTCAACAAAAGCAAAGCCTGGGGGGTTTCGAGCAACCCATACACTGCGCAGAGGGCCATAGTAGCCAAATGCCCTCTCTATTTCAGTCTTGTTTCCATTATTACCCAAATTTCCGACATAGACCTTGCAATCCAGGGGGCAGTCACGATGCATGACTAAATCTGTAAAACAACAAAGAAAAGATTTATCATAATTGGTTTAAGGTGAATTATAAAACGCTAGCATTAATATTATATTAGTAATATTATGCGTAACTGAGTATCTACATTGTATGCGATGCTTGTAGTCTCGATACTGTACTCAACAAACAAAAGTTAGTTCTTTGTATGGCCCAACGAGAAAATGCCTAATCTTGACTACAATTTGTAATTATTTGTTTGACTATTCAACTAAATTAGAGACAAGTCGCAATGACTTGAAAAGGGTATCATGGCCTAGTAGTCAAAAGGCAACCCTTGCTTACTAGCTAACGCTATAGTTAGCATGATGAGCTAACTTCACTTCCTGGTAAAAACAGAGGCGCCTAGCTTATCATCTTAAGTTTCCACTAATTTCTGTACCTAACTCCATTATTGCACAGATATCGATACGTTTCACAAAAGTTGACTTTAAAGTATAAATTGAGAAGCTAAGCTAAGTGCTACGTGTAGCATTTACAGAGACGTAAGATGGCCGTGCGGGCCTAACCGTGATGAACAACAAAGAACATAAACCTCAAATAAATTCACGGATTTTGTCTTATTAACTACACAAAATTCACAAATTTAAAGCAAATGTATTATATGTGGAAATTTATAAATACAATACCGTGATTTGCTCTTTAGTTTCTGAAATTTTCGTCTCTTTGGTAGATCTGGTCTTCTCGGTCGTCAGTGGAAAATGGCGTGAAGAGGAAGACGAGCAACAGTGAACGAGGCTCGGCCAAACCGGTTTGGGGCATGGATGGGGGCTGTGCAGGAGGCAAGGGGCGGTACAAGTCACAGACTGAAACTTTTGTTCAGTTCTTGTAGCAGATAATCTTGGAAAACTTGTTACATCTGATACTGATGTGAAAACATACATAGACATAATGTGACTATCCTTAAGATAGATACTGATGCCCAGAGAAATTTAACTACATAAGTAAAAGACAATATACCAAAGAAACAACATCAATACACAATTATTTTTTCCATATATATATATATATATATATTTTTTTTTACTTAAAAATGTAATTAAACAGACATTTTGCAAAATATTAGGTAATTAAAGGTTTTATTGGTGGGACAGATAATAAACCCTGATTATGAGTAAAAAGACAAAAAAGATAAACGCTTGTAGTAAAGTATTTTCTTGAGTTCATTATTTTCCTGTGTGCAGTAAATGTGTCTAACTGGTAACGCCCACAAACTCACTCGCCACAGTCTGCAGGTGACAGAGGAGTGAGAGATACGCAGCGCCAAGCAATTATGGACATTTATGAGATTAACGCGTACGTGGCTTTATTTATTTACTAAACAGAGAGATCCACACAGCATATTCTGTTTTTGCATGCTAGGGTGTTTTTAATCATTGTTGTGAGGGCGATCTGGGAGCACACTGGTGCTAGTGCTAGCTTCTTCAAGAGTGGTATATCAACTTAAGGGAAGATTTGTCAACCAAAGATGTCAGAATCGGCCACTGGAGAGGCAAAAGCAGAAGTGAAGCAGGCGAGCAAAGAAGTCAAAGAAAGCGAAAATGTGGCAGAGAAATATTCTGCCATGACAGTGAGTAAAAACAGCGAGATGAACATGGGGGATCTGACCACTGTCCTCAGCGCTGTGCCCACCCACAAACCTGTTAAAAAGGTAAGTTATTATCTCTTAGTTTTTCTTTCATGCCTACAATGTGTACACCAGTGGCATGGACTTGGTTTAAACGTGGGCTATAGCTGGAACTTTATTATTAGATTGTAAAGCCACTGAGTTAGGGGGCAAAGCTACTTATGGGTAATAAACTACTAACTACCAGAGCATCTTGAAATAACTCCAAAGCTTGAAGGTTATTGTAGGATATTCTAGGAAAAAAGGATTTTACCAAATCAGTGCCAGACAGACAGTGTCATCTTTGCCCATATAGATTATATAATAAACCAAACTTATATATACTTAAAGACGCACTAAGTAACTTTTCAGGTGGGGGCCTGTTTCACAAATTACTCTGAAAATATTTGGCGAAGAATGGAGAAGATTATAACCAAGCCTCTTCTTTTACAACATTAGTCAAACAAGTTGCTGAAGAGGACAGCTGGAAGTTCTATTCCCTCTGACTAAGACACACAAAATCAAGTGTTTTAACTAATGAGATGCAATTGTTCAGCAGTATTTAATCATAGTTCACAAAGCTACATGAAGTCCATGTTGCTTGGCTGTCAACTTAGCCTTGGAAAGATAATTTTTATACTCTTTCTTGTTGTGATATTCTTTGGTATGCGAGACACTACCAGACACTGTCAAGTTTAAAAATAAACCCTGAACTTTAATCACTGAACTACAGATAACAATTCATTTGGATGATTTATAGTACAATAGTAATAAATTAATCAAGCAGCCTCTTCTCTTTAAAGAAATGTGCTTATGTTGAAAAGGTTTGTTACATATTTTAGTATTTTTTCCTGAGATGAATAAACATATCTTACACATGATGTCATCAACCTGTAAGTGCTTTTTTTAATTTATTAGCATTTTACTTAAGTGTGTTATTATTATTTTTTCAGCAAATCCAGTTTGTGGAGGACAAACAGGAGTTCAGTAGATTCCCGACCAAAACCGGCCGGCGTTCCCTGTCCCGCTCCATCTCTCAGTCCTCCACTGACAGCTACAGCTCTGGTACACTGTTTGTTTTAATGTTTCACGCAACTGCTTTTACCATAGCTCATTATTTTATCTCTCAAGCTCTGCCCATTGTATGTGTGTGTGTTGTTTGTCTGCGCAATCTCCCTTTATTGTAGCTGCATCCTATACAGATAGCTCAGATGACGAGACCTCACCTCGGGACAAAACCCAAGTCAATGTGAAGGGCAGCAGTGACTTTTGTGTGAAGAACATAAAGCAGGCCGAGTTCGGCCGACGGGAGATAGAGATTGCAGAACAAGGTGAATCTTTTGCATTTCTAACTTAAATATGTTTTTGTCATGGTGGCTTGATGACTGTCATGTTGTTTACAGATATGGCAGCGCTGATCTCACTCAGGAAGAGAGCACAGAGTGAGAAACCATTGGCAGGTGCCAAAATCGTGGGCTGCACTCACATCACTGCACAGACGGCAGTAAGATCTCATGTTTCACATGACATATAGAGCAATATGTTGCCTTATACTATAAGACTCTCATTAAACTATATTTGAATAACAATGTAGTTCAGAAAATTCCCAGTCTAGTATTCAAGATAGATGTAACATTGACTTCTTCAGGTGCTGATTGAGACTCTTGTGGCTCTTGGAGCTCAGTGCCGCTGGACTGCATGTAACATCTACTCTACTCAGAACGAAGTGGCTGCTGCATTAGCTGAGTCTGGTGAGCAGTTACAAAAATGCTGTGTTTTGGTATATAAGTTCAACAGTGGGTGTTTCTATGGTAGTTAGATCTCATCTCCTTTATTTGGTGGTCTTATACACTCATTATAGGGCCTTAGAGTATTTTACTAGACCTTTTACTTGTGATTTTATGTTTCAGGTGTAGCTGTTTTTGCCTGGAAAGGAGAGTCTGAGGATGATTTCTGGTGGTGCATCGACCGTTGTGTTAACACGGAGGGATGGCAGCCAAATATGGTAGAAGATAATGATACACATTTCACAAATGCATTTACTTTAATCTTTGGTATTTTACAATGTTTGATGGTAACTTGTTAGATTCTTGATGATGGAGGTGACTTGACACACTGGATGTACAAGAAGTATCCAAATGTGTTTAAGAAGATCAGGGGAATTGTTGAAGAAAGTGTCACTGGGGTTCACAGGTAAAGTATTGCTTTTAAAAACAACTATACAATTGAATGCCTCAATCACTAATGCACTTGCATCTTGTTTCCAGGTTGTATCAGTTGTCCAAAGCGGGGAAGCTTTGTGTGCCAGCGATGAATGTAAATGATTCAGTGACCAAACAGAAATTTGACAATCTTTATTGCTGCAGAGAGTCAATTCTGGATGGGTAAGCAGAGGTTTTCCTGAAATAAATATTTGTCTCTAACAAAATGTATTTAGTGGTCACTTTCATTCTGTGGCAATTTCTCAAAAATCCTTGTGAATATACAAAATATGAATACACAAGCAGATCTTTTGTTACTGTTAAATGTTTTTTACTATATCTGGTCTTGATTTTATATTCCATCTAATATCTTGAAAGCCGTATTGTGCACACAGCTAACTATAATGTCAGATAATGTTTCAATTTTTATCTTGGTTAATTATTACCAGTGAGTAATTATACTGTTTGCATTAGTTTTGATAGGATAGTTTATGATTTATTGTTTTGTATTAAAAGTCCATTATACATCAGCATGTTTTTTCATTATCACAATACACATTATCACAGAATAGTGCAGTGATAAGGTCATACCCAGCAGCCTCTATGGAAAACTGCACTGTATGAGACATATCACTTTGCGCTAGAGTTTTTTTTTAATTTCAGTTGTTTATTTAAAACTCATAATTGTTTCCTTTTTTAAAAATTATAGCTTGAAGAGAACCACAGATGTTATGTTTGGTGGAAAGCAGGTGGTTGTGTGTGGGTATGGGGAGGTAAATCTTTATTCTTTATTTATCGTTATTCTTTATCATAATTTTATATTGCATCTTTAGGGTGTTCACACTTGGTTCTTGTTTGGTCCTGGTTTGAGCCCAGTTTAGTCTTGAGTGCACTTGATTTGGGTTCTCTGATATTAGTCCTGGTCTAGTCTAGGTTTAGTCCAAATTTTGGCTAAGTTTAGTTCTATATTCAGTCCCAATTTTAATGTGGGGAAGTGTGAACACCTCCATAGATGGATTAATTGCAACAGTACATTAAGTTTAGTTATCTATTATTTAATGTTTGCAGGTTGGAAAAGGGTGCTGTGCTGCATTGAAAGCTTTGGGAGCCATTGTGTATATTACTGAGATTGATCCCATCTGTGCCCTGCAGGCCTGGTGAGTGAGATATCTATGGAAACCTGTCGATATCTAACAGATAGAATATTGACGGGGCACTAACATAAAAAAAATCTGACAATTTCTAGTAACAACAACACTTTTGCTTTCAAACAGCATGGATGGGTTCCGAGTGGTCAAGCTTAATGAAGTCATTCGTCATGTGGATGTGATCATAACATGCACTGGTAAATTAGATAGAAATGCCTGGAAACTACTGCAACTTTGATATGCTGGATGTATACTCATTCTATATCATGGTAATTATTTCTGTAGGTAATAAAAATGTGGTGACTAGAGACCAACTAGACCGAATGAAAAATGGCTCTATTGTGTGTAACATGGGGCACTCCAATACTGAGATTGACGTGGTAAGAAAAACTGCTTTAAATAACTGACCTAAATAATAAAAGTAGATATTGTAACTCCTGAACTAAAAATATAACAGGTCGAAGATAGTGTACAGTGTTATGAATTGTATATAACATTAAGTACATTGTTTAGGCAAGCCTTCGAACCCCAGAGTTGACCTGGGAGAGAGTACGTTCTCAAGTTGATCATGTCATTTGGCCTGATGGGAAGAGAGTTATTCTGCTTGCAGAGGTAACCACATATCATAAACCATCATAGATAGATCATTTTGCTAACTTGTTATTTGTGTATTTTCAAAGGGTCGTCTTCTGAACCTTAGCTGCTCCACTGTTCCCACTTTTGTTCTTTCCATCACAGCCACAACTCAAGTAAGCAAGATCGCCATGTGCGTTGCGTAGAGAATTTAAACAGTAGCCATTATAATCCAAATATTTTATAAACTTTTTGAATTGTTTAAAAACCGCTTATATGTTTGGTTTTAAAACACTGTGTTGAACATTGTACCTGTATCTAAATACATAACATGACCCACATTAATAGTGCATGTGGTCTATTTCAGGCCCTGGCACTTATAGAGCTGTACAATGCTCCAGAGGGACGATACAAGCAGGACGTGTACTTGCTTCCCAAAAAGATGGGTAAGGGAAAAACACTTAAATTATCAATTTATAACTTAACTGCACTGTAGTACTAAGATGCCAGTTTGATTAATTTATAAGTTTGCAGCTGTTAAAAGAGTTTAACGCTGCACGATGTGGCTTTTCTGGTAGAGGGTCCACTAATGTTTGTCTCCATGGAGGTGCTATTGTACTGCCTGGAATGTTCCACAGTATGGCATTAAACATATCTTTTTGTCTTTATTTTTTATTACTGGTTATGTTCCTTAAGAAACATGCATTTTTACTGTGAGTGGATTTGTCTCTCAACAGATCTAACCTGTAACTTGGAAGTGTGACATTCTTGTCCCCATGGAGAAAAATATGTTAAATGCCTCACTGTGAAACATTTCATGAAAAAAATCTCCATGGAGACAAGCAGATGACAAACCCCTCCCCAGAAATGTTACATTGTTCAAACAGATATTTACCACATTGTGACAAAAAGTTCATTTCTTTTTTAGATGAATATGTTGCCAGTTTGCATCTTGCTACATTTGATGCTCACCTCACTGAGTTGTCTGATGAGCAGGCTAAATACCTCGGCTTGAACAAAAATGGTCCATTCAAACCCAACTACTACAGGTACTGACATTGAAATGACTCTTTCCATGTAAACTGAGCTAACTTGTATTAGAATTATTTTCTATGCTTACAGGTACTAACTTGAAGGGAACTACTGATAAAGGAATGGGCCATAACTTGTGTATATTCTGAATACCTGGTGTATTTGATGTTCTACCCTCAAAAGTCCTTTCCGTTTACTTTAGTTTTACATACAAAATATATAAATTATATAAGTTATACATTGTATAAAAGTCAATGAAGTGTGCCAAAGGGAGGAAAACAAACACCAAATAATTTAAATGTTTAGCCTTTTTAAAAATCATACCTGATGTGAACCTGATACCTGATAAAAAATGTTTAAAATAATTTAGCAAAAATGGACAAGTTTTGAGATGAGCTGTCAAATGTGAATACATGCACTATACTATACTATCCTGTAGTTATTGAACAGCCATCATAGAATGCCCTACATTGGTAGTGGTTGTCTATTATTTATTAGGGCGCTTAAATAGATAAGCAAAAAATACATGTATCTATGTGTAATGTTTGGTATTATTATATTATAGCAGACACTCATTACATTCCATTTCAGTGTTTTAAATAAGACATTATTGTATTGATTTTTAAAATAGTTTTTTTTTTTTTAACTTCGATCCTTGAATTTCAAAAAGTCTTTTGAATAGAATATAAGATAGAAGTATAAAATAGATATACAGAAGAGGAAATATCCCTTTAAGACACATGCTTCACTGAAGTGTGTTGGTGTCCATTGCTTACTCACATTAACCATATTACCAATTGTGTAAGTGTAAGTACCAATTTAGCATCCATATCTTTAATTGGAATTATAATCTTGTTGTATAAATTACATTAATGTAACATGATTAGATAGTCAAACTGAAAAATCCAAGCACTTATTGCAGTGTTCACAACAGTTTTGAGGTGTTAATCAATATATGCTTCACTGTAATTCACTGTAAGGGTCTCACCATATATATTATTATTTAAATGTCTTAGATATTGCAAATATTTTTGCCATTGTCACAATGTAATTTCATACATTTACATTTATATGATTTTTTTTTTTTTTACTATTATGACATTTGCTAAGTGCTCAATTAATAAACCACAGTCATTTGATTAAATTATAATCATGGTATCTGGTCGGGAGACAGTGCCTTGTGACTCTCAGTGACTTTTTAAAATCATGATATGTACTTACATTAAATAAAAGTGCAATATATACAGATAGCTATGCAGAGACAATAATTCATTTACCTCTCATCCTTTGTCAGTAGACTGCATTTGAGTATTACAGGCCTACTTTACAAAATATATGAATATCACTAATCATTCAGCACTTATGCCTTTTATTTTGGTTAGTTATTGGTAGAAACATTTGTGTTATTATAGTTATTACGATATATTATACTGTATAACTACTGGATTGATGCCATATTAAAAACGCCAAAAAAAACTGTGATAAGGGAGTTGCACACTGGCTGGCTTTAAGTTTCTTATATACACAATATAGATTGTATTATTATGTTCATATGCTGCCTGTTCTTCAATAAACCCTTGATAAATATTTGACGTTTATGTTTTTGTTCATAAATTCTATTTTCTATATCTGTTTAATTTACTGACACAACTCTGATTTAGTAATATATTTATACAAAGGAAAAACAGCAAACCCATCAAGGCTTGTCCACTGTCCACTGCTGATTCTCGCAGATAACCATAAACTCTCGCGAGAAGACTCTGGCCTAAAAATTATGGATGTCGGGGGAAACGGTGGAGGAGTAGCTATAAACAATAAACAGAGAGCTATGATTCCCAATAAAAGCAGAGGAGAATTCACCCGCAATCTACGAAAAGACTCGGAGGTAATGGGCGCATCTACTGGGCTTTACCCTTTCATTTTAACTAAGAAGCTGCAGTAATATTAGCTATACCCGGGGCTTTGGCTAGTGCTAGCAGCACAACTTCATTTTCCATCTCAGTATGTTTACAACGTGTGTGTTTAGATTGCCTTGATTGTCCTGTAGCTTATGACCAGATCCTATGCTATGGAAAGGTGTAACATCGGTGCCCGTAAACTACATTGTTAAAACCTATATACGAACCTATACACGAATGTAGTTGGCTAAACTACAACTAAGGAAGCTAACATTGGCCTCGTACAAATCGGACGACTTGTTGAAATGGCTATCGTTTTAATAATACGGCATTTGTTTCCTGATCACTGCTATGTAATCTAGTTACACTGTAATAACTTGGCAGCTGTAAGTATGAGACTTGGTGTTTTGCACAGGGCTTTTCTGAATCCCCGGACTTGGAATTTGACTACGCTGATACAGACAAGTGGGCTGCGGAGCTGTCAGGTGGGCTGACCTTTAAATACAGTATTAACCTCTGTTTCGTTTTTTTCCCTTTATATAACTTTCTTGCTGTCTTTCAGAGCTGTACAGTTACACCGAAGGCCCAGAATTTGCCCTGAACAGAAAGTGTTTTGAAGAAGAATTCAGGGAGCATGGTAAGAAGTGATGCACGTTTATCTTAATACTTTCAAATAGCCCAGTAGGTCTCAAACTGTGATACACAAGCTCCTTCTGGTGGCATGCGAATTCATCTGCTGCTGAAGTGTTTTAGAGTGAATTTTATTTATGTTTAGTTGTTGTTTGGTGTGGAGTGCCTGATGTGTCGGTGTAATTTTGCAGGTTTTAATTATAAATTTAATGTTATTAGGCTGCTGTGATTCCTTCTGCAAACAAATTTACCCTTGGGTACTAATAAAGAAACCTTGACCGTATGCATTACTATTGGTTTAGAACTAATGTAATCATAGTATATGATCAATATGGCACGATTCTCTATAATAAGCTTTTTTTGTATCCTTTCATCCAGTGTCCGAAAAGAAGTGGACAGAGCTGGATGCTGCACAGCACAGAGCCCATGCCATGCGATTACTGGATGGTCTGGAGGTGATTGCTCGAGAAAAGAGGCTCAAAGTTGCCAGAGCTATTCTTTATATGGCTCAAGGTATGTTTTTTTTTCAAAAGTTGATATTTACATAGTATTTATTTTATATGTTCTTCTTAAAATATTTGTTTCTTTAAGGGACCTTTGCTGAGTGCACTTGTGAAGCGGAGGTGCAACACTGGATGAGATATAACATCTTTTTACTGTTGGATGTTGGGACCTTCTCTGCACTGGTGGAACTCCTCAACATGGAAATAGAGTAAGTTTTTTTAAAGGTTACTACTACCTAAATTAGGGCTTTGGAATATTACCGTTGTGATTAGATATATATTTTCAAAAGTTTTATTCTGTTCAGATTGCAGGAGGAGATTTTTCTTTTAAAGGGAGGGTTAGAAAAATAATTGTTATCTTTACAATTTAATAATTTTGTCAGCTTCAAATTGCTTGCAAGATATTACGCTGTCCTAACCTGAATGATAATTTTATTGGTCATGTTGATATAATGTGTTCTCTGTTGCAGTAACAGTGCAGCTTGCTCTAGTGCTGTGAGGAAGCCTGCGATCTCTCTAGCAGACAGCACTGATCTGAGGGTGCTGTTAAACATCATGTACTTGATGGTGGAGACGATTCAACAGGACGATCCAACAGATAAACCTGAGTGGAGAATTATCAGGGAAACGTTTAGAACAGAACTGGGTAACTATTACTTCATATTGTTTACATTTATGTTCAGTCTCTTTTCAAATGTTTTTAACTTAACTAATGCCTTGTAGGATCGCCTCTTTTCAACAATGAGCCAATTTCTGTGATGCTTTTTGGCATGGTCACCAAGTTTTGCAGTGGACATGCCCCTCACTTTCCAATGAAAAAGGTGCTATTACTGTTATGGAAAAGCATACTGGTGAGTTGTGCATTTCTGTATTTTATTCTAGGCTTTAATTGACAAAATAATATAAATCTTATATTTTCAGTTTACACTCGGAGGTTTTGAGCAGCTCCAAAGCTTGAAGGTGCAAAGGCGACAGCAGCTGAGCCTCCCTCCTCTTCCTGAAGACAGTATTAGGGTGGTCCGCAGCATGAGGGCCGCGTCTCCTCCGGCCTCTGCATCTGACCTCATTGAACAGCAGCAGAAACGGGCCCGGCGGGAGCACAAAGTAAGATCAGGACATAAAAAGCACATATTTTACAGCTTTCTATAAATAAAAAGAATAAATTAAGCACATCAAGTTAAAGGTGCACTGTGTAACTTTTCTGGTGTAGGCTCCTTCACCTGCCTGTCTGCACTCAGACGTTTTTTCTTTGTTTGAAATGTTACACTGTATGACATAAATCTTATGTTTATTAAATAAAAATAAATAAATAAATGAGTTACTATAGCTAAAAATACTAAAATACTTAAATCTTGCTTGTCAGGCTCTAATAAAACAGGACAATTTGGATGCTTTCAATGAAAAGGACCCTTACAAAGCTGATGACGCTCGTGAGGATGAAGAGGACAATGACGACAATGATAACTCCATCGAGACAGAGACTTTTCCCATTGAGCGAGATGAAGTGATGCCTCCACCCATCCCGCACCCCCCCTCAGAGCGGGTGTCCTTCCCAAAAGGCCTGCCCTGGGCGCCTAAAGTCAGGTACTCAAATGAAAACTATACTTATCCTAGTTTCTATTTAAAAGTTTTATTTAAAATTGTTTTAATAGCATATTTCTGCCTCTACAGGGAAAAAGACATTGAAAATTTTCTGGAATCAAGTAGAAGTAAATTCATTGGTTATACTCTTGGAAAGTAAGTTATGTTGGAAGAATAGAACTAGAATTGTTTGTATTTGATTGAATGTTCTATTTTATTAATAATCCATCTTTTTTAATAGTGACACTGACACAGTTGTTGGCTTGCCACGGCCAATTCATGAAAGCATTAAAACTCTAAAGCAGGTTATGTATTGTTACTGTATCTCTATTACTACTATTTATATAAAAGTTATAATGACCAACTTAATTCACAATTTACATGTTTTATTTCCAGCACAAGTATGTCTCCATAGCTGAGATCCAGATCACAAAGGAGGAAGAGTTTCAGAAAACCCCTCTCTCTGGAGTAAGCGTCTCTAAAGATATATGTGTACATATAAAGATATCAGTGATGTCCTTCAAATTTGCATAGACTATTATTATTATCTTGTATGATAGCTGTGTAGTAGATTTGCATGTACTGTTGTTTTTAGGGTGAAGAGGAGATAGAAATGTGTGCAACAGAACTGCTGTATCAGGGCATTTTGCCCAGTCTGCCACAGTATATGGTGAGTATTTAGTTTATCTAATCATAATAAACAAGTGAAATTCTTGTTAACTGTCTAATAACTCCACGTTTGTGAATACTAGATTGCTTTGCTGAAGATTTTGCTTGCTGCGGCTCCTACGTCAAAGGCAAAGACTGATTCAATAAACATCCTGGCTGATGTGTTACCAGAGGAGATGCCGTAAGTAAACAATTGCTTACTATATAAAATATGGTTATATCTTGATAATGTGTAGTTTTGGCTTGTTTAAATATAAATGCCCTATAAATGATTCACTCTCTGACTCAAACAGAACCACAGTGTTGCAGAGTATGAAATTAGGTGTTGATGTGAACAGACACAAAGAAATTATTGTGAAAGCGATTTCTGCTATTCTGTTGCTTCTCCTCAAACACTTCAAACTCAACCACATTTATCAGGTTTGGACTTTATGTTAATTATATACAAAGTAATACATATATTACAGTGTTGTTGTTTTTTTGTATTGTCCTTAAAATGTTGCTGTTTTTTGACAGTTTGAGTACATGGCTCAGCACCTGGTATTTGCCAACTGCATCCCACTCATTTTGAAATTTTTCAACCAGAACATTATGTCATACATCACAGCCAAGAACAGGTAAAAAAAAAAGTTTAAATATATCATTGTACTGAGCTTTGTATTTCTATGATTTTACATGGCTGTTTCTTTTCAGCATCTCAGTTCTTGACTTTCCGTACTGCGTGGTGCACGAACTCCCAGAGTTAACTGCAGAGAGTTTGGTATGTTCTATTAAATCTCTATACCTAAAATGTTTTTTTTTTTCTGATGACATATTAATGACATAAAGTTTGAATAATATCTGCTACTTTTTGTCTTTTTACAGGAGGCTGGAGACAATAATCAGTTTTGCTGGAGGAATCTGTTCTCCTGCATCAATCTCTTAAGGATATTGAACAAACTGACCAAATGGAAGCACTCCAGAACAATGGTAACAATGTTGTTTTTATTTAGTTTTTATATACTTTTTGTTTATTGATAACATAATTTTTATTTTTTTTTACTCTGCTAAGATGCTGGTTGTGTTCAAGTCCGCTCCCATCCTGAAGAGAGCACTGAAGGTTAAGCAGGCCATGATGCAGCTGTATGTTCTGAAGCTGCTCAAAGTGCAAACTAAATATCTGGGACGCCAGTGGAGGAAGAGCAACATGAAAACTATGTCGGCTATTTACCAGAAAGTCCGTCATCGCCTGAATGATGACTGGGCCTATGGAAATGGTGAGATAAATTGTGTAATTGTAATTAACATAAATGAGTCACATGCATTTAGCATGACGGTATCTGCTTTTTCTCCAGACCTGGATGCTCGGCCGTGGGACTTCCAGGCTGAGGAATGTGCTCTGAGGGCCAACATTGAGCGGTTCAACAGTCGGCGCTACGATAAGAGCCACAGTAACCCAGAGTTTGTGCCTGTGGACAACTGTCTACAGAGCGTTCTGGGACAGCGCATCGACCTGCCTGAAGACTTTCAAATGAACTATGACCTCTGGCTTGAGCGAGAGGTTTTTTCTAAACCTATTTCATGGGAGGAACTGCTTCAGTGACAATAGTTTTTTTCGTTGAACAGAAAGAAAATTAGTTCAGACAAACTGGCTTCAGTGATGTTGGCTCAATCAAATGATTTAAATGCTGCCTTCAATGTTTTGTGGTACATTGTGTTGTACATTCAGTTTTACAATTCCTGTAACATAATTGTTCTCCAAAAGCATTAACAGCAAAGTTTGTATCTTATCAATTAACAACATTACTTTTTCTCTTACGGTTTATCAGGGATACATTTGTATTGCGTACAACAGATATTGCAGTTTCTCTCGTCCCTTTTAGATATTGTCTGCATACTTTTATCTGGGACCACAAAAGAACTTGAATTTGACCAATAACTAATTAACAGACTTGAGCTTAACTCTGAAGGATCTTCATTTTTACACACTAAAGTCAGAGGTTTTAATGAACTTTCCATCATTATTTTCAATTTTATTTTTTAAACCTATGTATTTCTTGTAGTACAAACGGTATACATTTGAAAAGACCTGCAAGTTGCACATCTTATATTTATCATGGCTGTTTTACCTTAAACACTGTAATAAAATTGCAATGTTGAGATTTTGCTTGTACATGTTTTACTAAGCTTGGCTGACCATATTTCCGTTTGTGAAAACCCGGACACGTTACCGGGGGTGGGGCCTCGACATTGAGCTACACCGTATTTTAATAGATCCATGAGCTACACTCACCTCGCAACCTGTGCACGTATTGTAGACTGACCGACTGTGTGTCTGCTCGCTCCTTCTGAGTGCACAGAGCTACGAGAGCCAGTCAGTTTAATGGCACGAATGAAAGGAAATGAAAACCCGGACATTTATATCACTTAAAAACAAAAAACCTAGACGACCAGGACAGGACGCAAAAAACGTTTGGTCACCCTCAGCGGCTAAAATCTCACCCAATGTTTTAACCAACTGTAATGTTTTTGTTTTGTTTTTCAGTTACTTTGTTGGGAAGTCATCAGGTGCAGAGTGGATACAGCTGTGGGTAAACTTCATAAGGCCAAGCACTGGCATCTGAGAAACTAGGCTCTTCGGTTTCTGAACCACTTCGGACAGATGCAAGTGGTGTTCCTATTCCACTAAAGCCCTCACCTACTCCATGTTCAACTGTTCCGTTTGGCTCTTACGAATGATGCACGGGTGGATCCTTGGCGCTTGAAATTGCTCACAATGCACCACAATTTCATTTTTACGAACTATATTTAACCAGTAAAATGTCTTTTAATAAAAGAAAACTAATTCTGCAATAAATGTATAATGTAAATATTTTGCTATTACTAACAGCCACATTACTGCAGATAACACTATTATCTGATCGAATGGATTCAAGGACAAATATATTTGTAGAAGCATTGGTATTTATTAAAGCTCAGTTTTATCGCATTTGATTTGGTCACGTGACACGGTGCAGTCGTTTCCTCCGGAGTCTGTTCCAGGTGCTGTCCCAGGAGCTGTGAGCAGGACAATTGGCTCTGTTTCGTAGGAACCGACTCTGGAGGAGTGCTACAAAGTGGTCTTTGGAGGAAGGATCTTGGAAATTGAGAAACACCCTAGGAGATGTTTTTTTTTTCTTTTCAAGGCCAGTAGAATAGAGGATGGCCTTGAATGTTTCCCTCTGTTTTGACCAAAAGATTACAGCTCTTCAGACAGCTGAAAGACCTGATAGTGTCCTTAGGCCCTGATTTGTTATTTAAACTATGCAGCAATCCCACTTACTTTTTTTTTCTACATGAGTCAGCTGAAGGCACGCCGTTTCCTTTGTGATGTTACGGAAGAAGTGAAACTAAACTGAAGCCCGCCTTTTTTTATTTTGAAAGGACTGTTTATGTTGAACATGGAGAAGAGTTACACACAGAGGAGCGGTGTTTTTGAGCGAGCAGGGGCTGATCTGTGCTCCAAACATGACAATCCTCTGAACACTTATTGCTGTACAGACGAGCAGGTCGTCTGTGTGACCTGTGCCTCTTTAGAGCACAAAGGACACACCTTTGTCCTGGTGAGGGAAGAACGCCGGAGAAAACAGGTGTGTCAAACTCTACTATATTACTTCATTTTCTGTTTGTGTTGTTTTGCTTACATGCTAAATAAATGAAAACCTGATGGCTAAGGCAGCTCTTTTAAAAGGACACTAGTATACAAAGAATTCCAACGGGATGGGCCAACTGCAGATTAAGACATGCAGGAAGGCGGGGGACAAAGGTCATGTTCTGACGGTCCCATGCTCGGCCCACAGAGAAGTACAGATTTGAACAGGTTCCTTTGTCAGATATGTTTCATCCAAATCCTCTATGGCAGGACCTGTGTCGCACAGTGGCCCCTCACTGTGGTCTCATAACAAGAAAGAACCTTAGTCTGAACACTTTTTGGGTTATTGACTCGTATGGGCAATTCCTTTTTTCCTTTCCTCTGCACAGAGAATGAGTTTAGCAATGCAGCTGATGCTGCCTACAGTTTATAGACCAATGCTGGTTTTCACAAATGATAGTAAAAATAAAGCAACATAAAATAACTCTTTATTGTGCTTTTAAAATATGATTTGTGAAGAATGAGGTGAAGAAGCTAAAGCAGAGATACCAGGAGCTTCTGAGTACAAAGACCCATGTCCAGGTGAGTCCATTAAACACTGCTCCAGTGCAAAAGAGATGCTGAGGTCATGGTCATTCTGTTTAAACTTCAGGAAAAGGCCAGGGAGACAGAGGATTTCTGTGAGGCTGTCCTGACCAGAGTCATTGACCTTCTGCAAACCCAATACATGTCCCTGCGACAGTGGATCCAAGCCCAAGAGACGGCAGCACTGAGCACAGTACAGAAGCAGGGGGCTGCAGAAGTGAAGAGGAAGTGTGCACAGCTCGACCGCCTGACTCACCTTGACAGTGATGTCCACTTCCTGCGGGTATTGTCATGCAACCTGCCCCCCTAATGTCTTCAGTAACCAATGACTTCAGTCTCTTTTTCACAGGACTGGCCTTCTGTGTATCAGCTCTGTGAGAAAGACTTGACAGAGTTTACAGACAGTCTATACCTGCCCTTTAAGTTGCTACAAAAAGCTGTTGGCTCTCTTGGGAATCAGCTGGAGGAGTTCTGCAACAAAAGATTTACTACAATAAAGAATGGTGTGGTACTTTGGCAATACTTAAATTTAACTGGAATTGTGGTGAAATTTTTCACATTATTTGACCATTTTTATGTAGCCAATCGATTTGATCATCAGGTATTGGGGACAGAGGAAGATGATGTTCAGCAAACTGACATAGATTCTCATGGTTGGTACTTTATTCTTTTTAAGTACAAAAACTGAACACATTTTATTAAATACTGTATGATACAGTTATGTAATACATTTTTAAAAACTGTTCTTAGGTCATAAAAAATCTGATGAAATGGCACTAGATGATTACATGAAGCCCCTTGGCGATTCATATGGTTTGTATCTTTGTGTATGTGTAATAGGCTATATACTGTATTTAAAAACAATTGAATATCATGAAAAAAAAAATTATACCCATATATTATATATATAAAATTAATTTCTTTGCACTCAGTACTATAGACCCGACACAGCCCCCACAAAAAATCCTCTCAAAAAGCCCCGAAACAGAAACAAGTGAAAGTACAAAAGCCCCAAAGAAAGTAAAAGAAAAAAGAACTTTAACTTCAGTATAATGCATTATGTACTACAATACAATATAATTATGCAACTTAACTTATTACATAGCATAATGCATTCAGTATTTCGATTCAACATGAGGACCTAATAGACTCTGGGACCTTGATGGAAAATTTACTTTCACCTGAAAAGAGACTTTGGACCATTGAGCAATAGTCCAGTTCATTTTCTCCACAGCCCAGGTAAGACACTAATGACATCATCTCATGCCCCATGTAGGCTTTTGTGCATAGTGGCTCTTGATGCACTGACTCCAGCTTCAGTCCATGCCTTGTGAAGATCCTAAAAATTTTTTTCTTTCACTCAAGTTTTTATGAATATGCTTGGATATCGTACTCTGAACAACCAGCTTCTTTAGCAGGAACTTTTTGTGGTTTGCCCTCTTTGTGGAGGGTGTCTTCTGGACATCTGTCCAGTCTGCAGCCTACCCTGTGACTGTGTAGCCCACTGACCGACTGAGAAATTTAAATTAATTTAAAGGCTCATTAATCTTTGCTGGTGTTTTGAGCTAATTCCAAGATTACCTTTTTCACAATATTATAATTTTCTGAGACACAGAATTTTGGGTTTTCATTATCTATAAGCGGTCATCATCAAACTATCAAGAAATAAAGGCTTGAAAGCTTCACTGTGTCATGATTCTATATAATACATGAGTTTGACTTTCTGAAATTATACTCTATATATATTTTTTAGATGTAATAGTATTTGCCTGGCCTGCCAAAAAGGCACACTTTTCTAATACTTTTCTGCTTTACCAGTATAGACACTTTCTTGCAGTACCTAAATGACCCAAGTGAAGCTGCACATCAGCGTGGCACTTAGATCTTTAACCATAAGTATATTCTTTTAGATGATGATGAAGTTACCAGCGCAGTGACTGCAAACCTCAAAACCAGGGCAGACTTTTTACAATGTAAGTTAAAAAGTCAAGATGATGTAATAGTCCCATCCAAGTAATTTGTGTTTGCCTCTGTTTTTTGCATTTTCAGATGCATGTGACCTCAGGTTAGACCCCAGCACAGCTCATGAGGACTTGCTTGTATCCAGAGATCTCAAAGAGGTGAGGCTGGCTCCCAAGAGTGCTCGAGGCCCTGCTGTGCGCTACCCTGAACGCTTCCTTAACAGGCGGCAGCTGTTGTGCAAAGAGGGACTGCAGGCCGATTGCTGCTACTATGAAGTTGAAGTTACTGGGGGCAAAACTGAGATTGCTCTGGCTTATAAGGTCATAGACCGAAAGTCGTTTAAAAAGTCTGCTTTTGGTGGGAATGCCAACTCCTGGAGCTTGGACTGTACTCCCACACACTACTCTGTGAGCCACAGAGGGAACAGTGTGCAGCTCACTTCTGTCCCAGAGCAAAACCGCATTGGGGTGTATCTGAAGTTCATAGAGGGGACTGTGTCCTTCTATGAGGTCTCTGACACAATGAAGTTTCTCTACACTACAGAAGGTCACTTTATTGAGCCGCTGTATCCAGGATTCTGGATTGGAGAGAACTGTTGCATAAAGATCTGTGACCTTACAAATGATTGGGGTCAATCCTAATGAAAACAAGAGTAATGCAAGTTTACATTTCGCATTGTTTTTCTCTTTTTCTTGGTCAGAATATATTTCTTACATTACCGAATAATGTACTAATTGTGATTGTGATTGTGTGCTATTACAAATAAGTAATTTGTAAAGGTAATTCGACCAAAACACAAATGCATTCAACGCAAATTTTACAACAATCATTTACGTGAGTAATTTTCCAATAAAACACTTTGTTTATCAATACAACAGTCTCTGTCAGTACTTTGGAGTTTTCATTTAAACAAATTCACAGAAGAGCATTATTTATTTAACAGTATTTATTATGTTCATCTATAATAATGCATCAACTAATGCTGGACAAACCACAAAATGCAAATAAGGCCCCTCGCTGCCAGCTCGCATGACTTACTCACGTGACATACACAAGGATTCTTAAGAACTATATATGGATCCCATAGTAATATTTCTGTGAGGATGTGGCTGCTTTAACTCACATTCATTTGATTATACAGACAATCTTGCTTTGTGTTCAGTTCACAATGGCATTAACACACACACACGCACCCCCACACACACACACTCACTGTAGTATTTATATTATCAGCTCAAAGAACACACTTTAACATTTTAATGGACAAAACATTAGAATTACATCTTAAAATTTAAAACTCAAGATTGAGTTCACAAAGCAAACAGTGCAAACTTTATTATTTGAGAGAAGTATTGCTGTAAAAGTAATACAATTATTGCATGTAAGTGACCTGCACCTGAAGTAGAGAACCAATTTGCTGACTTAATTATTATTTAATGTTAATTTTATTTATTCTCTTTGTAAAATATCACTTTCAATGTTATACATTTATTGTTACATGGGTTTTGTCTGCACCGCAAACAAGGCCCAAAACATGATACAAGAAGAATTTGTGGTTGCAAATACTTATATCTGTCCTTGAAATAAATATACAGCTGAATTATGATCAGTAAGCCATAAAACACACAACATGGACATGGCAAAGTTCAGGGCACATCACCCAGTGGGATGAGTCTATGGTCCAAGTGACTACACACAGCTACACTATATATCTATATACAGTACATACAGAACATATACAAGTTCACAATACAGATACCTATTTAAATGTGAACATGAAAAAATATAATAATATATATTATTACTGCACTTAAATTTAATTTTGTCCCTGTACAAACCTCACAGTGTGATATACATCACAATATTTTGAGATGTTGCTCATATTACTCCTAAAAAAGTAACATGAGCAACATGAGCCCTTTATTTTTGAGTTTCCATTGATTTTTCATGTTTAATTTTGTGCATGTGAGGAAATGCTTCAAAGTTAAATTGAATGCTGTTGTGTTTTTTAACATTTTATGTGATATTTAGGAAAACATTAAACAATTTTATTTTTAAGTTTTTTTATATTTCTTATTTCATATTTCTTCTTTTAGAATGTGTCTAAAACTGTAATTCAATCATGCATAGTTCAACTTTTAGTAAAATTTATGTTGGGATAAAATATTTCTTTCAGTGCAATTGCCTTGTTGCAAGATTTACAACCACTGTGCTTCTAGAGGTGGGCAATATTGGCAATATGAATATGTTTTTTAATATCTTGATGACAGTATGATTCAGATATAGTAGTCTACCAAACTGTGCTAAAACGTCACTGTGAATTCCTTGGTTGAAAACATAAAGACAAGAGTAGAAATATCAGTGCAGAAATGTTTGGTAAACTGCACAGCATCCATCTATCTTCCACTTTATCCAAGGTTTTTTCAGCTTTTTAAAACTTCTTTTACTATAGACTAATTACAATATGTGTTATCATTTTGCATAACTCTAAAGCAACAAGTGGGATACATTTCTCTTCCACCTGTGTGTGCTACATCTAACCGATACATCTTACATTTGGGTCTCTGAAATATGAACATGGCTTTGTGCTACCTAAAGCTATTATGGGGCAGTTGTGCTCTGGACAGAACTAACAACCCTGCACTGCAGCTCCCCCCACAGTAGCTTCAAGGTAAATGCTATATATGTGAGTGCAACGGGAGCAAAGCATCAGGAGTCAGTTTCTGGGGTGAGAGGTGAGGGGGGTGTGGTGGGTGTGGATGGACTGATGGCTGCGTTTTGGTAGCCAGTTCCATAACAGCTGCTTGGAGACAGAGCACTGGCGTCCACACTGCTGTTGCCGGCTGGGGTCAGATAGATTTTTGGCGCAGGGACAGATCCAGGTTTAGGTCTAAGGATGGAGCGGGCTTCGTCCTGCTCCTCCAGGTTGGACATGTCCTTCATCATGTTTCTGCGGTAGGACACGGAAAGCTTATTGGAGCCATCTGATATGAGGTTGAAGTGGCGAGCAATGAAGACGAGGGGGAGCGGAAGCATGGCCAAAATGATGAGGGCAAAACACATGGCCAGTGCCCAGGGAGGGTAACTTTGGAAACGCTCCTGGGCCTGTGGACAGGAAGTCACGATTTAATAATTTGTTATACAAGTAAAATGCTAAAAAACTAAAAATAAATAAATTTTAAAAAAAAAAGGAAAAAAAAGTGGATTAATTCCACAAAATAAAAATACAAAGTTGACATCCCTGTGAGTCAGTATTCCTCAGATCTTGGCACACACTTATTCTGCCAATTAAGCCGTATTAAAATGACTTGCTCCTTTGCAGACCCCTGTGGCTGGGGCTTTTATCTATATATTTAATTAATGGTTTATGCTTGACCGTATAACTTTGGCCTATTCATCTAAAAGTGAGACTAAACTAATAGAGGAAGCGTGTGGTCTAGAGATATGAGGAATGGTGGGTGTTTTTCAATTTCCAGGACCCTTTCCGTCAAAGACTACTTTGCAGAGCCAAGTGTCCTGCTCACAGCTCCTGGGATTTCACCTGGAACAGACTCTGGAGGGAGTGACTGCACTGTGTCACGTGACCAAATCAAATGCCATAAAACTGAGCTTTAATAAATAACAATCCTTCTACAAATATAAAGTGTTCAGAAATGTTTTTATGTGTCAATACACATTAAAACATGTGAATAATGAAGGCTGAGTAAATCATCTGTTATTGAGTTCCAGAAATACACAGGCTGGAACATTTTCGTATAAGCTAAATGTATTCCCCATCCTCTTTTTTAAGAGATTTTGCTGTATTTGTCCTGATTTGAATTCATTCAGTCAGATAATAGTGTTATCTGCAGCAATGTGGCTAAAATAGCAAAATATTTTACTGCTTAAATAAAGTTTATGAAAAATGAAGTTGTGGTGCATTGTGGGCAATTTCAAGCGGTCCGACCCGTGCATCATTGGTAAAAGAGCCAAATGGAGCAGTCGACCGCGGAGGACGTGGGGGCTTTGGGGGAATAGGAACACCACTTGAATTTGTCCCTGCCCCAATCCTCAGAAACTGAGGATTGGGGCAGTTGGGAAACACCCACTGTGATTGATCTGAAAGGCTTCAAACTCCGCCCCCTGCATCAAGGTGTTCACATTATATATTATTTAGATCATAAATCTGCAAATTTAACCACTTTGCAATAAAACTGCAAAAAATATTAGGAAAAGTAGAAGTATTAAAGACTCTTAAAACACTATGTAACAGTTACACAGAAACAAAAGTTGAAGTTGTAGCTTTTAGTCCCGCTTTAATTATGCATGCGCTTAACTATGGATCCATACCATTTTTACTTTACAGTAGGATGCTCCTCAATATTTGCATTTGTTCATGTGTCTTGTTATTGTAGTCTAATAGCTTGACTTATGGGACTTAAATCTAAAACACTGCAAATTAATGTGCACCCTGACACTGACCAGCTCCTGGACCCATGCGTTGTATCCCGGGGGGCTGATGGCCATTTCAATTATGGAGGCTGAGATCAGGACGATGAGGCAGAGTGGAGACACGTACTTCCACAGGTAAAAATAGATCTGACAAGGACGAAACCCCAACATGTCCTCAAGGTCCTGCATGAACCTGTAGGGGGCGACATATTTATATTCTCTATTAGCAGATATGCAGATATGAAATACAGTATGTTACAGCAAAGAGAATGTTTGCAACTTTGCAACAAGTGCACTTTATATGCACGCTTTTAGCTTATAAAATGTGGCATTACATGTTTTATAATTTAAAATAAATACACCAGATTACTATAACATTTCTTTGAATGTGATTGATGTAAAATAGTACTCTAGGTAGTTGGCAGTTTATGTTTTTGATCAGGAAACAATGTTATTACATGGTTAGAACTTGAGAAGTTGAGTTTGAATAACAGAACTAAAAGGGTCCATATTTTCTGATCTATGATATAATTTTGTTTCCTCATCAAAAACATTCATGGAGTTCTGTTCTTTTTTTTTTTTTTCATACCTATTTAAAACACAAACCCTATATATTTAGGCTGAGTTCTTCTCTCAAACAGAAAGCACTTTGTTCCACTTTGTGATGTCATATGGTAACACAGGAACTGCTCCACTCTGTTCTTAAATTCCATACACCTTCAGCAGAATCATTTGTATGATTTAAGACCTGGAATTGCCAATTTCTACTGAACTAAAGGTAAATAGCTGTTAGCTTGAATGCCTCTTCATGACATAACAAGGTGGGACAGAATATTTTGAGTTTTGGAGATGTAGAAAAACTAATAATAAAGGATTACTCAAACATGTGTGAAAGAAACAAAGCACAATGTCTGGTATGTTTTTGATGAGGTAACAACATTATAACATGGCTTGTATTGCATGCAATATAGCATCTTTAAGTTTAATCAAAATATACAGTAGGTTTTAAAATACACCTTTTCTCCACAAGCGATATCAACAGAATAGGTCTGTAATTAAAACCATGACACTTAATCAACTAACTAATCTATTAATTAACTGACCACACTTAGGATATCTTTAGGGCCTGTATTTGACCACAATACCTCTTAGTGCCGTATACCCAAGCCACAGAGAGGTTTTCCAGAATGACCACCACAGTGAGGGGCAATCCAGCAGAATAGTCATCAAACATGGTGACAAAATAATTCCCTGAGCGCTGGACAAAGAGGAGGCCGCACAGGAAAGCCACAATGCAGCAACCAACTGCAAAGAAAATGGTTTGTTTAACTTATGAGACCAGTGAGCTTGTACTAAGATATACTAAATATGATGATATAAATGGCAAATGGTCACATTTTTATATAGGAATATACACAGACACTGGCGGCAAGGTGGGTTAAGTGTCTTCCCAAAGGACTCATCTGTGGGAGCTGGAATCACACAACCAACCTGTGGGTCATTGGATCTAACCACTCAACCAATGATGTTTTTATGTCATGGGAGGGATTCAAACTGCCAATGCTCAAATTAGTGGACAAGCGCTCTACCAACTGAGCTCCTGATGCCCCATAAAAAATGTATGTTCTACCAATTTGGAGAGATTGCTATATTGTTATTCAGTGCTTTTTAATGTGTGTATGCATGTGTACTCCCCAAAGAAGAAGATGGCATTAATAAGCTTTTTTTGCCTGTTGGCCATGTTTTAGGCAAATTTTATCTTTTTATTTATTTAAATAAATAATAGAGACTCATGTAGAAATTTTCCAGATGCTAAAATACTTGATAAAACTTGGTAATAAAAGCCACAGCTGCCCTGGACAAATAGACAGAAGTGAGGCTTACGTCTGCCTCTCTGACCACCACTCACTCACTCACACCGATGCAGAACAAGATGGGTGAAATGTCACAAAACACAACAATTTAAGTTGGTCATGTTTTTAGCAGCAGTACAAAAATGCCCATACAGATATATTAGCAAATGCAATGTAAAAAAAGTAAACAAAAAAAGCCATGGATACACTCAATGAGCTGCTTGGTTGCTAGTAGTACAAATATTTATCACTCTGTTCTGTCTGAATACTTTGGAATGAACACTACAATTAGTACAGTATTTAGCATTTTAAAATCTCTATTGGTTTAGCATTTACCTGTGAGGAGCTCCTTCTGCACCTTGTATGCATCCAGGATAGGAGTGGTGATTCCGGTCATTGTCCCGATCATACTGCCGAGACCCAGGTTTATGAGCATGAAGAAGAACATGACAGACCAGAATGGAGAGGCTGGGAAGTGCGTCATGGCTTCAGTGAAGGCAATGAAAGCCAAACCTGTCCCCTGAACAGCCTGTGGTGATCAGAGAGAGACAAACATATTTACTGGTTATTAATATGTCATCATTTCAAGTACAATCTGGTCCTGTCTCTCATTTACAATTTGCATATGATCACTCTGAATTAAGAGAGATGCTAATGGAATATCCATGGGTTTTAGAATTATATAAAATTGACACCATTGATATAGTTAATCACGATATCATTTCTTAATATAGGCTTCATTGGTTGAAAGTCCTATAAAACACAAAGCTGAAACTCAGAAACCAAAATGAAGGCTAAGCGCCACATGAACCACTATAAAAAACAGCTCTGAGACCTTGTTGAGCTCATCCTCCAGGAGACAGGGCTCCAGTCTGAGTGTCCCAAAGCCATCCTCCTTCACAGTTCTGATGATGCTGTAGATGTCCATGTAGTCTGCACGGGACAGGTGGGACAGGTTCACATGAGGAGGGATCAGGTCATGGCTTAGCACATTTGAGTTCAGGTATCCCAGGATCTTATCAGCATTCCTACAGGGCACGAGCAAAATGTATAGTTTCTATATGTTCCACAGTATGGTATTAAACTTATCTACCCCCATGGAGACAAACAGTTGATGCCACTAGGTTAGTTATACAGTATGTTACAGCTCAGATCTGTGTAGAGGAGATTTAATTGTCTCTGATAGATACATTTCATGTCCTTCAACTCGTGTTCATTTTACAGTTTCGAGGTGATCTTTAGCGGAATCCATAAACTTGGTGAAACTGTCTGAAGGTAGATGAAGGTAATGAAATTTCCACACAGTGAGCGGATCATTTTTAATACAATTTAAAAAGAACTTAGCAGGACATACAAAATGAGAGAGTAGTCAGAACTTACTCTGCCACACACTTCTCATTCATGATGTTAGCCTTGAAGCCCAGCACAGCGAATACAACAAGAGTGGCCAAAATGGAGGTCAGGAAGTTGATGAAGGAGACCAGAATGGCGTCAAAGTGGCAGTTATTGTCGATCTTGTTGTAACTGGAGAAGGCAATGACCCCTCCGAAGCCCAAACCCAGAGCAAAGAACACCTGTGTGGCTGCCTCTCTCCACACTTGAGGCTCCAGCATCTTCTCCAACTGGAAAACATTTAAGGTACATTATATTGACAATACATAATTTGTGTAAATGAATAGGATTTGGTGTTATAGTTTCAGATGACATTAGGTTAAGTGGGGTATAAGGACTGGTGAGTCTTACCTTTGGAGTGAACATGTGGGCAATACCATCCACAGATCCTTTCAGCATCAACCCTCGGACCAGGAAACAGAACAGGACCACATACGGGAAGAGAGAGCTAAAGTACATCACCTGAAAATACAGAAAGGAACATAAATGATTAGGGTTATAATCTTAGAAAGCAATTTACAATGTCACTAAAGCAATTTATATGATTAATATAGTGTAAAAATAAACATCTATACTAATTCAGCTGTAATGTGGTTGGTTAGCTATGTTGATCTTTTTACAATTCATAATCAAACGTTCTTTGAAGTTTACACAGCTTTCAAAGATTTTCTTGTGTCACTTGTACAGAAACAAAACTGAAAACAAAGTAGGCCTATAGGTGAGTAATTGTTCAAATCCCCCCAAAATTTAAAAGTATATAAATAATGA